CTCTTTTTGCCCCCCCCCCACTATTTGCAAACAATAGAGTTTTTTTTCAAATCTTTTGTGATCGGGTGTTAATTTTTTCCCTTTGCCCCCCCCCCCCCCACTTTTCAACCTTTGTCGGGGCCCATGTTATAGAAGTCAAGTTTTGAGCAATGAGATATTCGGAGATATTCAAGTTTTGAGCAATTAGACCCTCATTAATTCAAATAGTTCAGCACGTTGATCTTACTAACAGGACCGCCGAAAGGCTTCTGAGGCCTTGCAGCAAAACTGAAAGACGAGGTCCCTTGCGAGCGTAGCGTGCAGAAATTTTTTGCGACCTCGCCTTTTAGATTGCCTTGAGTATTTCTTGCAGTCATCTCTTGCAATTAATTTAAATTTTTGCTTATGGACTAGGGCAATCTTTTCATGAATGGATGTTAATTACCAACAAGGAAACACCACTCAATAAATAAAAAAAATTAAAAAAACAGACGCTGGATAGGTGGATATGACATGGCACCTTAGGTTGCAATTTTTGCTCACGAATGGCAATAAATCGTGGGCCAGAGAGGGGCCTGAGCACCCCCCTCCCCAGGTGAAAGCCTGAATTTCCGCCACTGGAACTTCACCCAAGGTGGCAGAGACGGAATTTGGGAGCGAGAGCTCTAGATCCCAGACTTTGCTAGATTGTCAGTTTAAACACAGTAGTATCAAGATAAAATTAGAGGAGTCTTGGTAGTATATAGCGCTGTTTTTCGTAAACTTTGGAAAACGCAGAAACCTCTAATAACCAATCATATTTCCAAATTTGATGAAAAGAGAGGTATATAATGATTTATTAACCCTTTGATAAAGTTTATCACCGATTTTGTGGCTGCAAGAGCAAACGCCATTCAAAGCAGTGTTATGAATACAACGCAGTTTGTCTTAGACATTGGCATCTTACGTTGGCACAAATCTTCCAATATTTTTACCGGTCATACCGGGAAGGTACTTATCAAATGTCCCCAATTTGTTTTCTTACCAAGCACAGACAAGATTGTGTATGAAGACTCCTTGCGAAATCGGTTGGGACCGATTTCCGCGTTTTCTGCGTTTTCGATTTTGAACGAGGGTAAAAATTGAACGCCGAAACCTTTTATAATCAGTCATATTAATCAATCGATTTATCAAAAGCATAATAAATCATTACATACCTCTCTTGCATGGGCTCCGACAAAGGTTGAAAAGTGGGGGGCGGGGGGGCAAGGGAAAATTTGACATCCATAACAAAAGATTTTGAAAAAAACTCTATTGTTTTGCAAGAAAGTGAGGGGCCAAGGCCCCCAGGCCCCGCTTCGTCGGATGCCCTGTCTTGTCATCAAATTAACTAAAGGAAAATTTCACTTTTCCGCGTGTTACGCGTGCTCCGCGTGTTCCGCGCATTCCGTGTTCGACCTGGCCCTTAAAAATGAGTTTCCACCACTGCCTGGTGGGAAGTTAAAAGGTTTACATAAACCTTCCACAATATATCTAGGCTAAAATCTAGCCAAAAGTCTAGGCTACAAACATCTTGGCATAAACAAATCCCATTTGTAAGACATAGGCCACGGGTTTTTCGTTTTATTTGAACTCTTGTGCTTCGATGAGGTGAAACTGATTTGCCCGCAGCAACGACAACAACGACAACAGTATGGGAAGGGCGCTTTGCTGAGGCAAAAGAACGCAAGTTTAATCTGACATTAAAAACATTCTGAGAAGCTGATTCAGCTTATGGACAAGATCAATATCATCTTTTTGAATAGTCAACTGCAAGTTGCAAGAGCTGGTGATCAAACCACGCAGTTGTATTAGGCGTTTGCAAGAAACGACTTTGCGACAATCTAGCCTGGCTGGCTTCAGAACGGTTTTATAGCGAGAACAGTCAATATGGTAAGATCTAAAGAAAATCTCCTTGTGTTTGGAGACATTAACAACTTGCAAAATTTCCATTCTAAATTACCGCTCAAGGCAGCAGCCATCTTCCAGGCCCTGACCGTTTTAGGCAGGCAGTTGCCCACATGGGCCTCATCACTCTATCAACTCGCCTGAGAATTTTGGTTCTTCTCAATCTTCTGTCGATTTAGTATATCATAAATTGTCGGTGACTTTTTGTAATAATGTCGTGTTTCAAGCATTAGTGCTAAGCAGGTAGTTTTTTACATTGTTTCGTAAGGGCTCTCCTTTTCGTCATTGCGACTTGGAATTGTTCTTAGTAGCTAAAAACACAAAAAACATAAAAAACACAAAACTTTTGTTAGTTTTCAAATAGTTTATCCACTTTTCAACTACTCTTTAACACTCTAAATGATTCTAAATTGCCTTACCCAGCAATTTTTTATCTTGCCTGACATACAGTATAGGGTGATGACATCTAGTTTCTTTGAAAAACTAGTAAACAAATCATAGCATCATATTAATACTATTTTATGTTTAATTAAGGTTTTAGTTATAAAATCCCCTTGTCTTAAATTGTTTCTTTATGATGTGCATGGTTTTCACTCATGCTTTCAGATTTGCATATTGCATATCACCTAAAAATATCTTTATAATCAAAATTGCAGTTGTGTATTGTTAAGTAAGCCACCTGATACAAACCGCAAGAAGGCAAGGAACTGCCTGTTTGCCAAAATGTTTGTGGCCGGGTCTGCCATACCCTCTCCTTGAGAGTCTTGGGACCTATTTATTGTTATCATTGTCAAAGGTTTATTAGACTGCAGGGTCATTCCATGTCAAATTTAAGGTCAGTGTCACCCACCCTCTCAGATTTTGATGAATCTTACAATATTGATTCTTTCTCGGGAGAAAACACCTCATTTTCAGTGCAATAGGTCAAGGTGTTCCCGAGATACCGCCATTTTTCATCTTAGGCATCTACTTCAATTTGTTTTTGAAAAGATATGTGATTAGTTTTAACAAACATTTTACCAGCAATTTTGCATATAAAATGGTTGTATGACTAATTTAACAAATTTTCTTACTTTTTTATAATTCAAATTATCTCAGATTTGCTGTATATACAATTGATGATATTTATATGGTTCAAAAGCCTAATTCAAGGCAAAAGCCCAAGACAATTTTGCAATCTTTGCAAGAAATGGCATTAAATTGGCTAGTCACAAAATGTAGAAAGTCTGTGATTGGCTAGACTTTTAATGCTATTATTTATTGTTGGCACAAAATTTGGGTGGACCATGCCCTAAAATGGCCCAATTATCTCTCTAATGTGCTGAAATTTTAGGTGAGGTGTTTTCTCCTAAGAGGGTGGGTGACAATTTGTGACTTTTATAGATAATTTGACATGGAATGACTCTGCAATTTATTATTATAATCAATAAAAAATTTATTGAACTTTTGATCTTTGCTTGCATTTAGGTAGCCAAAAATAATGCATCCATGATTGAAAAGTCAAAGCAAAAAAAGAAAATTAATGACGAGCATAGCAGGAATTATGATGCAGGAGCTGTTGATGTTAATGAACGGCAGTTGCGAAGAACAGGAGTTAGAGGAAGAAAAGTCTATGTCTTGCTCTTCCTGCTTATGATATTGCTCTTGCTGTTTATTGCAAACCTTGTGGTAAGTCATATTGACATTTATGACAGATTCTTGTGGCAGATAACTTGCAATATTTAAGCATTTGTTGCAATGCTTATTTATATGAAAATATTTCATCCTTCTATGTCCAATTGAGGGTATGCTTGTTTTTGTACTAAGAAAAATAGGCTTCATGGATCTGTATAATGGCTAGTACTTATAAAGGTGCAACATAAAATTTATAAATATTTTTTTCCCTTCTTTGCAGATCTTGATTGTCATATTATACATTGATAACATCAACCATAAAGGTATGGAAAGTATCTCATTTTATAAAGACGGAAAAACAAAATGGCATCAGGATACAGATATGGAATATGTATACCCACTTGATGATGTCATTGGTGGATATGCAAATGAAAACATAAACATTGATGGAGATGGCCAGAGCGTAATGCATCTTTTTTATTTTGAACTTATAAGAAAAAAGTGATATGTATCTAATTTTGTTTGGTAACATGCTATTCACTCCTGAGCATTGAAGTATATACATTTTTCTAAAGTTGATTTTGTTTTATAGCTTTCATTTTGATGTTTCCCAAAGATATGTTTGCTAGAATCATTGTTTAAACGTTCTTGGTTCATTTGAATGAATGAGCTCTTAAGGAAACAACCAACTTGGTTGCTTTTACCCTGATTAATTAAATTATTAATCCAGAAACATGGTTGTTGCTGAGATTAAAGACTTATGATATTAAGTAATACCAGCAACCTCAATTTCTGTTTCTAGGTATTCATTCAAGGAGGGAAATTTCAAGATTCTCCATCAGGTCTGCACACTTAACATTTTTATTAGTAAGTTTTAAAAAAGATATCAAATAAGCTCAGAATCATGATGATAACATTGGTTCAATTATGTGTCAAAGAAATAACTGCCAAAGCTACATGCAGCCAGTTCATAAATGCAAACCAAGAAACTTGATTACTGTTGGTATCAAAGTTGGTAGTTAGCCCGAAATATTGTCATATGGAGATGGCTGCAAGCTTTCATGCAAAACGTTACCACCGAGATATTGTCATATGGAGATGGCTGCAAGCTTTCATGCAAACGTTACCTAAGGAACTGATAGTTTTGCTTGTTCAATACCACATGTTAAATCGTTATTTAAACTATGTTCCAAATTTTCAGAAACTTTTCTTTTTGGCTTTTGCCAAATGTGAATGACTCACTTGTTTCTATATTCATTTATATTTGTTTTATATAATAAGATAGCCAGTCTTTACAAGGAAGTGTACAGGTCTTTTTCTAGAGTTAGTTAAAATATAACAGTTCCTTATTAATGGACACTGATTGGGGAAAAGCTATAGACAAATAGCTGCATGTGTAGCATAATTTTTACAAGACATGGCAGGGGTTGTCAACCTTTTCACACCTACCATAGCCATGTAAGGGCTGGTTATCTAATTGGCTGGATTTGAAACCTTTATATTCCTAAAATCAATGTAAGCATTTTTGCAAAATCAATGTTATTATTTGATTAGGTTGGGATATCAAACTTTCAATTTTGAAATTGTTGTTTCAAAGAAAAATCTACATTTTTGCAGTTTTGGTTGGACCTAGTGGTACAGATTTGAAGATTAAAAGAAGTTTCACATTTGCTGACCCATTTGAAGGCAAGAAGATACTCCACTTAGATCACAACTCAATACTAAAGAAAGAAGGAAGATTTGTTGGAGATATGCTAACAACAAACAGTCTTCGTACTCCAAGGGTGAGCATATGCTTGTCATGAACAGTTAGAAATTTGCTTTATGAATGTGCTGCAGAACAGTATATTTCCTATCCAATGAATAGTATAATTACTGCTGTGTCATCATCCTTTTTGAAACTTCCCTTAGGGTAATGGTAGGATTGGTGTTAATGTTTATTGTTCATTTTAATCTATATGTATATTTTAATCTATAAGTGTACACTTGGCCTAGCCTTTAAACATTTAAACTTGAATTAACATATATCATGATTTGACAATTATACAAAATTGGGCCTTTCAATGGAAAATGATTTTCAATCCCGATGCCACTAAGCAAGCAAAGGAAATTTTATTCTCGACTAAAAGGCAAAACCAATGGCATCCCCCTCTTATTTTCAATGAACATGAAATAATTGCTGACAACAAACACAAGCATCTTGGTCTAATTTTGGATGAAAGACTAACCTTCACTGCGCATGTACACGAAGCAATCATAAGAGCCAATAGGGGAATCGGAATCATTCGCTTCTTATCAAGATATGTGCCAAGAAATGTACTTGACCAATTGTATAAGCTATATGTTAGGCCACACCTTGACTACGGTGATGTAATTTACCATGATCAAAGCATATCCTATTCATGTAAATTAGAATCAACACAATATAAGGCAGCAATGGCCGTTAGTGGGGCGTGGAAGGGCACAGGCACGGACAGACTACTTGAGGAGCTCGGCTGGGAGTCGCTACGTAACAGACGATGGTACCGCAGATTTTGTCTATTCTACAAGACTGTCAATAATCAGACTCCCAAGTATTTGCGCAATTATATCCCTGATAAAAATCTCCTACAATATAAAATACGTCGTCCTACCTTGCTTAGAGCAGGAACACCTCATACCTAAAGATTTTCTAAAAGTTTTTTCCCATTCTGTATCCAAGCATTGAATGACCTTTGCCCCGAAATCCGAGGTGCTCCGACAATATCCGAATTCAAAAAAGGCCAAAAAGCTACTAATCTCTAAGACTCACCCCACTCAAAAATGTTTGCATGGTATTACCAACTGCCGTGGGTCGTCTATCATAACCCGTCTTCGAGTTCATTACTCTGACTTACGCGAACATCGATCTAATCATAACTTTGCTTGTGCAAGCCCTATGTGTGAATGTGACTTAGGAGTCGAATCTACGATCCACTTTTTCCTGCATTGCTGCAAATATTCACCTGATAGAACGAACCTGCTTGATAAAATATCTGATGTTGTTGGCAATGATATTTCTCAACTGCCTGACGACCATTTTTTAGCCTGATAAGTGCATTTTTATAGAAAAAACATGGTACTATTCATAATTTGCCTCCTTGTTTTTTCCTGTTAGATCACTTCTGATGATGAAAAAGACCTCACGTTTTCTGGCAGGTTTATAAATATAACTGGTAGTGAAGGTGTTTACATGGATTCTAAGCTGTTCCAGTTTGAAACAGATGGTGATATCAAGATAAACATTGAAGACTCTAAGAGTGTAAGCCGTACTAAATTTTTCACATTTTTATCCCTGTTACCAATTTTCTGTAAACTAGCCTAGTCAACGTCAATGTTACATCCAAGTTGCTAAATATATCTTTTTCCTTTCTTAGAGCCTAAGAATGGGGTCTTCGGTGCAACTTGATCGATCAAAATTGAAAGACACTTCATCAAAACATCACAAAGTCCTCAACCCCCACCGATATAGATTATGTGGTTGTGCTAGCAGTGGCAAACTTTTCAAAGTACGAATCGTGGACGGGAAAGGGCTTTCATGCTCAACAGCCTCTACAAACCCATGTGCATGAAGCTGTGTCCTTGTAAAGCCTCACCTTTGTGTGTTAATTTTCTTGCAATATCAATGTAACATGTATCATAACAGCTTTCTGGTAGCTTTTGCATTTTTGAAATGAGTAATCTTTTAACTAATATGAGTAACTTTTAGATTTTGGATTCAGTTACAGTAGATGAAAAATCTGAACAATTTGTATAGTTATGGCCAGTCCAAAGAAAGGTTTATAATCATATGCCTGTAAGAACCCATACGGTAGCATTTGTATTTGAGTCATGTTTTTTTACTATACACCTCACCAACTGTTTATTAACTGTATCCATAGCGGCATAGAATATTTAACAATAAGTAGTTTAGTCAATTTATCTTTAGTATTTAACAAATAAAGTAACTGCCACCTAACTTTGTCTTATTAAATTACTATTAATAGTTATGTTTTTTTCTTTATGGGCTTCAAGCTGAAGTTTTCCCAGTCAGTTTTTTACCGTAGAACAGACAATGACAGCTGTTTTGTTTTGTCTGTAATAAATGAAGGTCTTTTAGTTCAAAGAGCTATCCATATGAATTGTCTCTTAATTTTGTGTCTATGTCTTGTATGAAGTCAGAATTGATGGATGATGGATCTTCATCTAATGTGAAATGTATTTTCCCATATTGTGTTCTGACCACATATTGCTATATGTAACCAAGGCTTTGTTTTTTTGAAATAATTTAGACTTTAAAATAGCCGTATTTGTAAAGCTCTGACTTATTTTATACTGATATTGTCGTATTTCTTGAGTTGTATATTTTGTTTGATGTTTCTTACGTAGCACGTACTTAGAGAATAGGCGCATATTGTTTCTTAAATCCATTATATTCATTCGTAATATGGTTCCTGTGCATAGACAATTCTTTGCAGTAATTTAAGAGTTGGCGACATTTGTATGTAACAAGGTGACTAGTTTCTAAAGTTGGCTGAGCCATTTCTCAATAACAAAGGATTGTCCTTTGCTGGACACAAATTGATGATGGGGAAGCTCGTATCATATTATATTGACTTATAAGAAATGCGCTTTTAACTTGCCTGATATTATTCATCCATCTATCCATATTCAGAGTAATAATATGGTATTCGGTACTATCTAACCCTCTTTTAGGAACAAAGATAATGCTTATATTATGACCCATCTCTAATGCGAAATCATGGCATAAGACTATGATCGCGAATATTAACATCTAGAGCCTGTGTTCAGCAATTTTACAATGCATTTTATGAGCGAATTAGGGTTCAACAAGGAATGCAAACTAAAATTTCCTGGAACATGTATCATGTATTTTTTCTGAATCTGCCGTCTGCAAAGCAAAATTTGGACAATGTTTCGATATTTAAAACAGCAATGTTATTTAATGAGGGGGCACATATCCTTAGGGCAGAATGGCGAATTATGAATCTATAGCTCCTTAAACGGAAAAAGGCACAATGTCATCAAATTTCAATTAGGAGATCCTCTCACGGCAACGGGAAAATATACTATACAGAACTTGAATTTCATTAAAAAGAATGTAGCTTGTTCTTGTTGCACGTAAATGTTGTTTTACGTTTCACAAGAAAGAATTCAAGCGTGAAACTTTTGACGAAGACATGATCTCCAAGCATTGTAGATTGAGGTTCTCATAAGAAGCCTTGTTAATTTCTTGATTATCTACAATCTACTACAAAACTGTCCTAAAGCTAAAGCAGTCAATTATTGATACGTTTTATCAAGGCGCCAGTTTTGTGCTGATGATGCAAAATTAGCTAAACGCATCTTACCAAACTTCAATGAAGTATTTGAAAAGATAATGCTCCATTGATTATCAAAATTCTTGGAGAAGCACAATGTTATTTGTCCTCATTAATTTCTAATGAAATCCTTCTAATAGAATTCTGAAAGTCAGTATCAATAACATTCTACCTGAAAAACGTAGCAAATGGTGCTCCCCAAGGCAGCATCCTAGGTCCTTTCCTCTTTCTATTATATTCAAAGACCTACTCTCATGAAAAATTGAAATTTTGGCATGACTTGAAACTGTGAGCATCTACTGTTTACAATGAATGGTCTAAGGTTTCTGAAAAGCATATAAAATAACATAGAGTTCTGATTGATAATAATATAAAGGTACTAGAAGACAGACATTGCCATTCCTACCAAAACGAGATATTCTGCCCCACTTGAGATATCAACAACTTTATATCATGCTCTTACCCTCGGGGCGGGATGCCTTGACATGTTTGAAGGTATGGGGACGTGCCATTATTTAGGGGTACCTTTTTTCTGAAAAATGCGAAATTATCGGTACTAATTTTTTAAATTTGTACAGAACTATGGGTACCATTTGTAGAAACATGCAGAATTATGGATACAATTTTTCGGAAATATTGCAAAATTTTTAACAGGGAGATATAGCATTAACAAAATGAATGTCAAGTTAGAAATAAAAGTATGAAATATGTGTATTATTCAGCTTTTGGGGCAAAGGACATGCAAAATCTGGTTAATGCTTGTTTATGTGCTTTAACAATTTTTTTGCTTTGCAGAATAATTGGTCTAGTTTTCATCATGTTTGCGGAATTATGGGTTCACATTTTTTCAGACATTTGCGAAATTACGGGTCCAAAATTTCAACCAAAATGGCACGTCCCCGTCCAAAATTAAGCATAGCTTACCTCCGAGCTTTTACCCCCTCCACATATCAACCATTCAACCATGCTCTCGTTGCATAGGGCAGTTTATTAAATAAAAACTTAGATAAAGTAATCTATAATCAGCAAAGTTGATTGGAGTAATTTGCTTTGAAGATCGAAAACTAATGAAGTCACCCTTTTATTGAGCTTTGAGGGTACTTACTTTCTAATCTACTACATTGAAGCTCCTGTGTGCAACATGGATATTAATGCATGACATTCGCAAAGATAACTACAATTTATTTTGGAGGTATCGAAACTTGGAATTAAACCCAAATGAAATTCGATCAAAATACAGTAAAAAATTATCGAACAACCAAATTTGCAAGCTAACATCAAATAATATCTGTACACCCGAACCAATTACTCTAAGGCCCCTAATTTTGCCAATCTCGACGAAAACAGAAGTGCACCAATTTTTCTAAAATTTTTTTCATTTTATCAAGATATTTCTTCCTCTTGATTTTCTCTGTCGCTATTTTCTAAAATTATCGATGAAAATATTTTCACATTATTAAAACAAAATCTTCATTCGGATTGTTTACTGCAACATCCTTTATGAGCAAAACTTTTTTCCTATTTGAGTAACTACAAAACATAAGGCACTGGCCCGGATATTCATCCTCTAGGCTAGGTCATCATTGTTTGCAGAAAAGAAATCTCAATGTATTTCGATATTATTCAACGTAATTTAGTCACTAGACGAGATGAAGATTAATTGAAGTAGCGGATAAGGCAATAAATCAAAAACTTTAGCGTTGTGCTCTGATCGTTTGATTTAACTGTGTTAGTGGGGGTGGGTGGGGGGATGGCAGGTTGAAACGCGCTTTATACCCAACCAGGGACGCCTGCACAAGATTAGGGCGAGAGGGGCAATGTTGGTGCTGAGGGAAAATCGTAGAATTTTTCTACTAACGTGATCGAGTATTCCTGGTTAGGGAGGGTGGGGTAACATAACAAAATATCAACCTGCATATGTGACCATCATACAGCTGAGTTCTTCTATCACAAATGATTTTAAACATAGAGAAAATGTTGACGAAAATATCCATACATAAATGGGTATTAAATGGCTTTGTCATTACACACAATATTTGGATTTAAAAAACTCATGGCTGTTATAAATGGGCTGGTTGTAAAATTTTTATTGCAAATATCGTTTTATCCTTCTTTGGTTTCTGGAGTACTTCTGAGGGAACAGGTCTCTTGTTTATATACTATTATCTTTGTCGCTCTCCCACTATTTACCCACCTTGCTACAGACAGCCTTTTCAACCTTTGTGTTTTTGTGCAATTTTATCATTTTTCCAATATTTTCTAATAGAAAATAACATAACGAGAGCGGTCAAAGTGATCATCAATAAACAATAAGATTCTATAATATTTTCTTATATTGCAGGGCACTTCTTGCCCTCTCTGCCCCTCTTTTAGCCGCTGCCCCTCCAGCCCCCCCCCCCCCCCCCCCCCCCACGGTGTAGGTGCCCCTGTACCCAACTCTAAAAACTGGCCTTCTTTCAAGAGTACAAATTGAATTTTTGAAAAAATTTTAGGTAACGCACGAGATCTCAACACAGTGCCATCTCTATACTGTAGTCTCTATTCTGCGACATCTCTTCGTGTAAGCGAGGCTACATAGAAGCACAACAAAGTAACAACAAAGATGTCGACGCAAAACAGTTGTCGTGTAACTACGGACATTCACACCAAATATAGAATAAAACGAACATCATATAGAGAGGATGACCTCGAAAAACTCAAATTTATTTTGGAGGTAAACTCAAAGAATCTGCTTTTTTCTCATGCAGTGTATTACATGCACAAGATCCTCTTTGCAGTTTCCTTTTTTGGCCTATAGTAGCTTCAGCCCAGATTGGAATTTTTGAAAGGTGCGCAGGGGATCTGTTTCATGTCCATGAAAATTGCGCATCTGCAAATAGCACATATACAATTTTGGATTTATCCCCCGCGCAAGGGAAAAATTCCAGTCTGGGCTTCAGCTTGAATTCGGCTTATGCAACCATATTTCAATTTGAAATAATTTCTTTCAGTGTATGTCGCTAATTATAATTACTCAACAGAACTTTTGTGGCTTTTATTAAGAAACACCTTATGATCATTAGGAATGAATGCAACTCAATTGGGTTTCGACTGCTCATTATTCTAACCGTCTTTATATGCAAAATCAACCTTTTGGATAAAAAGAGCGAAAATGAAGAAATCAAGATGCCTGCCATTTCAGAAAATTTTCCGAACATCAGATGATTGATGTGGCATACTGAGAACAGTTTTTTCCAAAGCTATAGGCATAGTGACTACGCAGAAAAGGCACCTAGGATCGAAGGTCAGCCGTGCCCTTAGAACGCATTGCTGTAGCAGCCCATTCCTGTGCTGGCAATCGAGACACTGTCTTTGAAGTGGGCCTTAAATGATTTAGGGATGTAGTTTTGAATTAATTTTTTATGGCTATCGAAACCACCACGATACCTATGCTCCAAATCTTCATTATTTCCTTTTTTCGACAAGAAAATAGGGTCAACAAATCAGAGGTTTGAAATCTTAAATTTCATGGCAAAGGCACTATTAGGAGGGGTGATGGAGCCCTCCATGCACCTGAAAATTTCTGCCACTGCTTGGCTGGATCAATAACAGTTATTTTCTGGTGCTAGCTTTCCCTGTGATGTGGTTTTCCTTAAGAAGTCAATTGTTTACATTATCACTCTTAGTAAGTAGCTCAGTGATGGTCATATGTTTGCATTGAAATCTGTTTATTGAAGATTAGTTAATTTTTTTCATTGTAATTTTAGCCATATTTTCAAGCAAATGAAGAGAAGGTAAGCACAAGTAAAACAAATAATTTGTTGATAACATTCTCTTGCATTCCTAGTAAATGAGGTGCTAATGGTTGATTATTGGAACCTTTCACCCCCAACGCCCCCCTTTTCACACTAACTTCAGCTTTTTCAAAATATTTCTCAAGCTTTGTAAGTTCTAGAGAACAGCTTTGTAAAACTCTCCTATTATTATAATAAAATCTCAACAATTCATTTCAAAATACAGGAAAACTTTACCTACAAGAATTTTTTGCCATGTCTGAAATTTGACATATTTTCAATCTGTTAATTACAGAGGCTGAGTGAAGCATGTATCAAAAGATTTTTACGTGCATTTTTGACAACAGAAGAGACTCATGAAGCTATAGTTAGGTTTTTAGAATGGAGAGACAAGTTCCATGTGAGTTCTTTATGTGCTGATGATCCTGAAATAGCTAAGGAGCATGCCATTGGGAGGTGTTGTGTTATGGATACTAAAGACCGCGATGGCAGGTATTTCAAAGTTTAACATACACATTTCATGCACAAATATAATCTCTTCACTATGGGCAAAAGTGCTACCTTATTGTAATTCAAAAATTCTCCAGAAATAAATAAATGTGAGGGGCATGAATAAGCAAAGGATTTGTAGCTGCCAGGAGCTAGAATAAATGAAAGGGGTGCCAGAAACAGCATTATGTGTGTGTGAAATAAGAAATGCACTAAGCATGAAGTGATCCTTTCAGTTTTTCCAGAGATTTATTTGTGTTCTGCTATTATCTATTCAAGTTTAAGCTTCAGCTTTTCTCTCCTCTTACACTCTCCTTTTTTCTTTTATTGTTATATTAATCTTGTTGTAATTTTTAAATTTGTTCCAGTTAAATTTTTGTTTATTTCTTCATCTTTGTGCATGCTTTAGTGGTACAATATGGCAAATATGAATAAGCCAAGGACTAAAATAACGATTGGCTGGGTGGACTTTTACAGGCAAAAGTTAAACATCCAGGGGTAATTGTTAGAGCTTTCAGAGTCAATGGCTAGTATTGATATCAGAAGCTTGTGACCCCTTTTAAGAGCATATTCGGAAGATCACCAGACATTGAATTTGGGGTAAAAAAAGCGGTTACCCTTGGACACTTTTTTCAATTGAGTGCATTGTCTCAAGAGCCATTGAAATATGCAAATGAAATTTGTTACTAGGCTAATCTTAAAATTTTGTTTAAGTAGTTTGTAGTTGATGGATTGGCCTAAATAAGCTATTTGTTAATGCCTTTGAATAGCAAAGTGTGCGCTGGTTAAAGGTTGTGCAGACCCCAAACACACTCACAATATTGGAAATGACATTTCATCCTTAAATACAGTCAAATAAAAATAGAGATACATCCTTAATCAAAATTTATTAAGACAACATGTATATTTTTAATTTGTGCAATGTTTAATATCCAACAAAGAAGGTAAAATTGCGCTAACCAAAGCATGTCAAAACACTCCAACTTGGGTTTTGTTAGGCCTAGCTTTTTTCGTGGTTTTTGTGTGCACAGATTCCCTTGTATGAAGTCTTGTTTGTTCTATTTGAGAAACCTTTCTTCTCATGTTCTTTCGATGTTTCTTGGTATGTAACATGCCCTTTAGGGAAATGGATGCTGGTTGACACTTTCAACACACAGGGCAATCACATGCAAAACACTGAAAAGCCTACTAACCATCGCATCAGGGGACCTATCTTTCTGCAGTTCTCTGGAGCTGAATTTATCTCCTTTCAACTTTTAAATACAGACTTTGATGTTACGTTTAGGCATGGCACCAAGAAACATGAAACATCAAAATATTTTATGTTACAAGCACCTTTTTTGAACGTGAAACATGAAAAATGAAATGAGGAATGATAAAGGACTTGTTTGTACCTTTGAATAATTCGTTTTTTCTATCGAATTTCATTATACTCTTGCGCTGTCATTTAATGCTGTATTGTCATATGAAATGAGTTTAAGTGAGTGTCCAGTGTCCCTGTCCCAGTTAAAACCCCTGTGATTCTCATAACACTATGCATAGTTCCTTGAGAAATGTGAGCTTTCATACTTTTTTAAATTTGGTATCAAAACAAAACTTAAATAGTCTGTAGGCTAATAGTAAACTAAATTGATTTCAGTTGATATGGTTGCTCAGTTTTCAAAATTTGTTTTTCTTTAGGCCTGTTGTTCTCGTCAAAGTGCGGCTACACGATCCAAGCACAAGAGATATGCATTCACTCACCAATTACACTATTCATATGCTGGTATGCTGACTCGTAATTTTCCTCATGATAACAACACATTTTAGTAACTGAAAAGATTATATAGGCTTTAGCGCCCATACTTACGAGAATATTTTGTAATTTTCGTCATCAAGTAAACGTTTAGAAGTAATAAACCGTTTAACCATTTTACGTTCCAGAACTTTGTCGTTCTTTTGTTAAAAGCTCGATGGCTTATAAAAACTGCAAGTAATAAGCATTAAGGACAAGCATCAAAGGGTTAAAACAAGCCATGCCTTCGTTCCCCACATATATTTTTCACAATGATTTTAAAATTTTTTTAAATTGTGTGTTTCTTCAGGGGAGAATGATTTCTAAAGGCATGCAGTTTTAAACATCCCATGATTTCTTTTACTTTGGTTAGGAACAGCTGGCCTCACATTGCAATGAAGATGTGATCGATAACTTCTGCATTATATTTGATTTGAAGGTGAGTGAATAGGCAATAATTTTTGTGGCAAGCAGAATCGAAAAAGAAACATTTAGAGAAAACTGCTTTGTTCTCGGTTGTTGGTCAGTAGTGGGTATCAGATAATGTGGAATATGCGGTATATTCAACCTCGAGGTATCCAGATGCTCAAGTTATCCAAATGCACCATTATTACCTGAATCGTTGTGATTTGCTCGACTGTACTGAGCCACTCTTCTTATCATCGGTTTTATTGCCTTGAGGTAAAAAGCAACTTTGATTCAGTATTTCATGAAATCCTATATTTTCATTAATTCCTGTTATTACATTACAGGGCTTCTCCTTGAGAAATATGGATTATACTTACGTTAAAAGACTTATATGGATCTTGCAAAATTGCTATCCAGAACGTCTTGGAGTTTGTTTGATTATCAACTCTCCGTGGATTTTTTATGGTTGTTGGTCGGTAATAAAGCTATGGTAGGTTCAGACTACAGAGGTTTTGTCTTGTCTCAAATCCTGAACCCATTTTCTCAGATTCTGTCACATTTACCGCCAATCGCCATCAGAATACCCTGCCCCTTGTGAATCTTTGTCAGCAAACACTGCAACTAACTTTGATTTTCCATGCTAATGATAACTATCAAGGACTCCCAAGTAAAAAGTAATTTACTTGAAAATTTTTGTTAAACTGAAAATAATGGGACAGTTTCGTGTAAGTTGTAGCTATTTGCTACACCCATGCTTTCTTTCAGAGGTTTATTCAATTTTTTTATATCTTTTAGGATCAACGAAGTAACAGCTAGTAAAATAATATTTGTTCAGAATGAAGATGATCTTGAAGATTTTGTGCCACTCGATTCTATACCGGAGAAACTAATATGATTTATAAAGTTATCTTTGTTGTAATTTGATAATGGATTTGGATAATTCCGTGTACTGAATATTATTTATCTATGTTATTCGTGTAACCCAAAGCGTAGGGATCGCCCCATTGGAATTCTAGCTACCTAATTCCAGTCTTATTCAGCATTTAGTCGAAATTGTCTTGTTATAATAAGTTTCTGCACGTGCCATCGAATTTTTAGAACTTTCCACAGTAGGTTGGTAATTGCTAGCACTTCCGAGGAGGTTGGAATATTCTTGCGATGTTGCCAGAGTTTGTACCCTAAACTCCACCAAATAGGTTATCTCAACTTTAAATTACTGATCTGCTTTGAGATCCATATTTGTAGTTTTGCCAAAGTTTCAGTAATTTCATCCCTGTTATCAAGACGGGTTTCTGGCCTCTAAAATCTTTGCCACTGAATGTTATGGAACGTTGGTATCTGTTTCTCTTTTGGTGAACCTTGTCGGCATCTTCGCATTGTTAATTTTACCCAATAAAAGACGTGGAGAAGGGAAAGGTTTAGGGAACATGTCCCCTCCCAACGTATAGAAATATTTGAGGAGGCCTGATGAGAAGAACCGGTAACCAGCACCTTCCCGGATGCTTAAACTATTCAAATGGTCCCCTCCACCCTGATTTGGATTGACTGTTTTAATGTAATTGTAAGGTTTAGGTTCTTAGAAACAAATTTTTAATAAAAGTCATATCTTGAAAGAAGCTCGTTATTTCGTTGTTTGTCTTTTCATTGCAACAGTAGATAGTAAATATTTTTTTCCAGAATTTGTTTATACCTGCGAAAAATCTCTTTTCGATTCCTGGTGTCTTCTAAGGTACCAGGAGAAGCAAAGATTAGTGACATGATGTCCACATTCTAAAGTAAGCCGATGAGTTTCGGTAAGCAGAAAAGTCCTAGATAGAAACTGAAATGATTGCTTAAACACCTCCCAAAATGTTGATCTGATTAACAAAAGTACAGGACTGGCTAAGAAAGCATATATTAACGAGACTCAATAATAAGGAACTTATTTTGGACAAGCTCTAAATTCCGATATCTTTATGTTCGAATGGAAAATTTTTCAAGCCTCGTAGATGAAGCAGTGCTATGTGACCACTCATTCCACTTCACAGCGTTTAGTTTTGTCGACAGAATTTTAGAGGTTCGGCAATTCGATTCCTTTTTATGTTCAGAAAGCGAAGTAACTTGAAGGAACAGCAAAAAAATGTTGATGAGTAACTTCCAAAACTGACGATAAAAAACTTTCTTTATGTTTTAGGGCTGTAGTGTCACATCGAAAAGTAAAGTACTTTGTGTCCTCTACAAATCATTTAAAAGCTTAAAAAGCACTTTACTCTAAATGCAGTTTGTGTCCCTAAAAGAAGACCTCTTCTGCACGTTTTTCACTATGCTATCACCTACTGCCAAGCTTCCACCCTTCAAATTGTTTTTTTGGAGAGAATGAAGCCGTATGCTTCGACGATATTCTGAAAAGAATACAAATTTGAAGCCTACAGAAATTCGTCGTATAGGCTGTAACTGTTTGTAAATGTTTGTAAGGTTTTGAACGTTAACCCAACAACGAGGCATCTGCAGAAAGATCTTTCTCAAGGGCTAGACGTTTGAGACGTTTAATGAAGAAGTAGTATTATCTAACTTGGTTTATATCTTTTCATAGTAACTGGAATCTTCTCTGAATGTAACTCATCATCTTCAGATACCGTCTTCTACAAAATTATTGCCTAACATGAGACGCAATCCCATCCTATTCTCAGACGCTCTTTCGACCCTCTAAATCCTGTCACATCCACTCAATTCCTTGGTATCATATTTGCTTTCTTAGAATTCTTTTTTCTTCTTTCATGCCTTCCAGGACAAGCCTAGGAAAAAGCCCGGAAAACCCTCTCATAACGTGGCCAGCATTTTTTCACTTCATCAGATCCTTAACCAGTAATTTTCGATGCCCTATTCTTTCCAGAACTTCTTCATTGATTGATTTTTAAGATTGTCCTGTAACACCACATTTCAAAAGCATTAAGGTTTTCTATTTTTCTTTTGCTTTATGTCCAAGCTTCACTTACATGTCCTATTACTGAAAAGATATGAGTTACCAGTAGTCTTAGTTTCAAGCCAAAGTTGATGTTGCCCCTCAAGAATTCTTTAACCCTCCAGAAGTCACCTTTTGCTTTCCCTATCCTTCTTTGTAGGTGGCCTTCACATTTACCTTTATCTACGATCCAGGTCCCGGGTATTTGTATCATTTTATATGTTCTAACTCTTCACATCTACTCTTATTGCACATTTAACGTGAACTTTCTTATCTATCACCATTATCTTGTCATTTTTGCATTGAGGCTTATTCCATCTTCCAAGCATTTCTGTTTAAGTTCTTTTACCATTTTTGCAATGCTTCCCTGTTTTCTGCAATTAGTATTGTATCATCAGCAAAGCTAATATCATTGTTATTTTCTACATTGATATTTAACCCCTTTCTATTGCTAAGTCCTTCTTCAATTAGGCATTCACTGCATAAATTAAATAGAATTGGCGATAGTATACAACCTTGCCTTATGCTTTTTTAAATTCTATTTCTTCCGTCTCTCCTTGGTTGACTCTAACACTGCTTTCTGTATCCAAAATACAAAAACTGCTATCATTCTGATTTCATGACTAGGTATTTCAGTTCTCCTCGTTTTCTCTATAAGTATCTTACCATGTCAAATGCCTTGGTATTATCTATAAAATAAACATGAATGCTTCTCTTTTTCTCAATATCTCAATTTCTCAATGTTTCAATTATAATTCATGTAATAAAAACAGCTTATCTTGTGCCTTTTGGAATTGTAACAAAAAACTACTCTAGAAAAAGTATTGAGGGATATCTCCAGTTCCTGCTGTGTAAATCGTGTTTATTAGAATTATTCTTCTCCTAGATTTTGTAAAAATTATGCACAATCCTGTCATCTCCTGCTTGGATAGTTTCTGTATTATTTATGGTAATTCTTTTTCGATTTTGATAAACTTTTCCTTGATTTCTTCAATATCTGGTGTTGATATCAATATCTGTTTTAGTTTTGTGTTGCCAGTGCTATTGTTACCATTTGCCTGATTTTTCATTTTTTCTTTTTTCTTACTAAATCAAACTGTTTATAGATAAGAATAGAAAAATGTAGCCATCTTTTTGACGGCTGTTTTCGGGTGTTATAAGGAGCGTAGACCCAAAAAAATTTCCCCGGCCCCCAGCGCAACCCCAAGCTCGGCCCCATAACTTTCCAACTTGTGCTCGGTTACGGGTTTGATGGGGAAAGATCGTTTGCTCATCTCACCATATCGCTGCCAATTCCAATACATTTTTGGCTGATTTTGCACATTGCAATGTTTTTCACGATGCTCTTTCAAGTTGGGATCCAAATTCAAAAATTCTAAAATTAGACTTAAGAACTCTATTCTATTCAAATTGAGCCGAAAAACACAACCACCAAAATTTCAAGCTTAATTTTTACTATGGAAATTGAATTAACGTGCAGTGCATTTAGGAACAACAGTGTTCAAATACGTGCGAACAATCAATATAACTGGGAGTGAATGTTTACGATTCACCACCAGCTCGCCTTGTTGTTTCGATGATATCGTCATGACGGTATCTGTTTGTCTTAAAGTTGTATTGAAGGTTTGCTGCTTTTTGCATTAAATATTGTCTTCAGTTCACGGTAACTCATTGTCTGATTTTTTATAGTGCTGACTATTGACTACCTGTATTCATGGTTATTTTGACTTCAGCACTGAGAGGGCGCGTCTGCGCAATCTACTAGAATCATAATATCCATAACAAATAAACGATTTTTTCCATTTATATAATATGGAAACCGGAATTATAAGTTCAATTGTGATGTTGGCCATTTCGTGTCGAGTCTGAAGCATATCTCTTCTAACTTGTCTTGTAAGTATAAATACCCTGAAGCTAAAGAACTGTTAAAGAACGTTATTGCTAAAGAACTATAACTTTAAATTATCAAAGATTAACGTATCGTTTGATCTTATCGATTAACAAAGTTCGACGTTTAATGAATGTTTGATTTGTTCTACTAGTTGCATAGCATTTACTCAACTTTCGAAACATGAAGGTGATGAGATATTTGGCAATACAGGAATTTCTACATATCTTTAGATATATTCGTGTGCCATTTGCTTGTTAAATGTTTTAAAAGCTTTTTTAAAGCTGTTTAGAAGAATGGTTTTATGAAACGTAAAATGTATTTATCAAGCACTTTCCCAGTTTTTCCTTCACATACCGATTCCTAAGCATTGAATGTATGTTAGGATCACTTTGAAGTAGCAAAAGAATATGGTGTTTGTTTAAGGAGGTTTAACAAAAAATTATATTCATTTGTTACTTCCAAATGTTTACAAAACCTACTTTCAAATAATTTCAATTTCAATCAGGAGTCTTAGTTAACTCCTTCGACAATTTTTTACAGAGAAAGAAGTGAGTCTTCACCCACTAGGACTACTGGCATTATAATGCTATTATTACAACACAAATCATGTTGCTCAAATTAAGTTTCATGGATTTGATCAGAGCTAAAGAGACTTCAAGAGCAAAGAAAGCTTTTCACTTTGCAATTATCCTCATGACGGCAGGCTGTGTCCTATACGGCAGCCTGAAAAGCATGACAATGTCTCTCGCAATTCGAAAAGCCTATTTTCCAGAAACCGAGGACATGCTTGAGCGCAACAGTGGCCCAAGGTTATCATCCGCTTTGGACCCAGAGACAGAACGATTGCTTGAACATGAAGAAATGGGGTCGTTTCATCTCGTGACAACTTTTGTGCCATTTGATCATGAAGATGTTAAAAAAGGCTTGGTACTAAACGGATTGCTACCATCAGATAAAGAAATCTCCACAAGGATGTCGGAAATTCTCGACTGTCTACAACGAAACCTTGAAAGCAAGTTAGTTGCATTTGTGCATGTTTTAGTTTATCGATACGAAACTGGCGACCGTCTGCAATCGCTGAAAATGAGATCTGTCAATAAACTTATAATCCATTACAATTTTGTGTCACCAACAATTATGGATGCTATTGTCTATGCTTCGAAATATCTAAAAGGAAAGATGGTAATTATACTTCATCAAGATAACTTTCTAGGAGAAGGTTGGGAAAAAGTTAATCACAAAGTTTTAAGAGAAAAAAAGCTACTGTATGCTTTGACAAGGCACCCGTCGAATTGCAGTGCAGCATTGAGAGCAGCGCATTGTGGACCTGGATCTCGTTATGTCGGTAGCCATGATGCATTTGCCCTGCACATAAAAGATGAAGAATTCTTACATGACCACCTAGCGGAGCTTGATGTTCCTCCTAATACAAATGGTATGGAAAACGTACTTATCTGGGTTTTCAAGGAAAGGCTTAAATATAAGGTTTTAAATCCTTGTAGCGTCTTAAAGGTTTACCATAATCACTGCACCCCAGTCAGGGACAATTGGCGAAAGCGCGTTAATGAAAGAGGGATGAATGGTTTAGCTTTATTCACCAATAAGCTTGAATAAGCATTTCGGTGACCCACTTCACTGCGAAACAATCAGAAAAGACAATGCCCATTATTGTACTTTGGCACAATCGGGGAAAGACTTGACGTGCTCCTTTTATTTTTATTACCTTCTGTTTTTTACGGCTAGCCTTTTCCGTTCCGCCCCAGCTTGACTTTAGGCTACTGTGATCTTCGGCTTGTCTAGCAAAGTTCAAATGACGAGAGAAGGTCGTCATGCTTGTGGCTAATGACTGGAAGTCTAACAAGATCTTACGAAAAAGAATTCACTACAACAGAAAAGTTTGAAACTTCAAATGCCGTAGAAATTAACGCCCTTTTTAAAGTTTCGTTTGATGATGATGTGACACAGATTAATGGAAAAAACGATAGAAACGTCCAAACGGTGTTAAAGTTTAAATTGCGTCCATCAATTGTCACTTTATTGTAATAAAAAATCTAATTGTATTTGGAAGTCAAACAACATATCTACTTTCGACTCGGTAGTCAAAAAAGTGTTAAACGAACATGCCCCTACAAAAATGAAATACGTTAGAGCAAACGATGGACCTTTTGTGACAAAAGCATTCAGGAAAGCCGTTATGCTGCGGAGGAAATTACGAAATAAGTACAATAAGGAAAGGACCAAAGAAAATGAGAGGGCCTTCAAGAAACAAAGGAGCAGAGCAGATGCGTTAAACTTCTACGCGAAACTAAACGCAACTATTACCAAAATCTTGATTTTAAAAAATCTCGTTGACAGTCGAAGGTTTTGGAAAATTGTAAAGCCTGTCTTTTCTGGTAAGGTCCAGACTTCTTCTAGTGTGACTCTGCTGGAAAATGACAAAGTTGTTTCTGATGATAGGGCTTTTGCTGGTATCTTTAATGATTACTTTGTTAACATTACAGGCTCTCTTGACATTGCAGACGCTGATTTGAACTTATTATTAACGGATGGTATTGATGATCCAGTTGGTATCGCAGTGAGAAATGTAGTTTGCATCCAAGTATTAAAAGAATACAAGAGAGCTTTTTCTCAGATCATTCTCAGTCTCAAAATCATTCTCAGATTTTTGAATTTACTCCCGTTTCAGGAGTGGATGTAAACAATCAAATAAAAAGATTAGATCCAAAGAAAACAACTCCTTTAGGTAAAGTCCCAGGTAAAGTCCTGAAAGAGAACTCAGATATATTTCTACCTTACCTGACAGATGATATAAATTTGTGCCTATCAGAAAATTATTTTCCTAACAAGCTAAAAGATGGAGATTGTGCTTAAAGGCATTTGACATGCATAAGTACAGCGAATCCAAAAATAACTTAGGCCAAATCGATCAGAGCACGCGCACAAGAAAGGTATTGAAAACCGCTCACGTGAAGCCACTGCGCGCTGCTCTAGGATTTCACCGATTTGCAGAAAGGCGGAAACTGTTCACAGCCACTTTAATTTCTATTAATGAAAACAACATCCTCTCCACAGATCTCTATGTCAAACCCACAGACACATACAGACCTGCCAACCACGGTTTTTTGGTATGAAAACAGGGAGATTTGGCCAAAAACAGGGAGATCCCTGGATTTTGTTAAATTTGTAAACAACATACCTGTCAAAAAAATCATATTGGACAAACAGTTAATGGCAACAATTATCATGGGTAGCGCCTTACTAATGGTTTTTAACGTTTTCTGTAATTTGTAAACACCAACAAAAACTTTGTCACAAAGAAAGTCATTTCAGTCATTTTCGTTGTAAGAAAACCTCAGCTGAAAGACAAGAAAAAACAGGAAGACGATTATAAAAAACCGGGAGACCGGGAGAAAGCAAGCAAAACCTTGAGTCTCCCGACAAAACCGGGAAAGTTGACAGGTCTGACATACAAGTATCTCCTCAGCACCTCCACACACCCCAAACACACCAAACAGTCAATCCCATACAGTCTTGCCCTACGACTACGACGCATGTGCTCGGAAGACGAAACATACAAACTTCGTATAAAACAACTACTACCAGAAGTGGACTGGCTCCAAATTTAGGGCCCGGGCAAATTTGTCGAGAAAGGGCCCGGAAATTCAAAGTAAGTTTACGGGTATCATGGAAGTATCTTGTGACAACATTATTAAGGCTAGCCTAAAAGGCCATTGGAATATTGCTATTAGTTCTGATTAGTTGCCACCATATAAGTTCAGAAACTCCAGATTCAACATAGCAGAGCCACATTAAAAAATAAAGAGGTTTAATACCGTATCATACAGACGTAGCCAAATGTGAAAGTCAGTTCTAAATGAAATAAGATGCGCGCAAGAACTTTACTAATTTTCAAATTTTCATCGGAATTTTCATCGTTCAATTGATTTATATTTAGCGTTGGAAATTTGAATTGGGGGTTCTACAATCCTTTATTTGGACCCACGCCGCTTTCCCTGTATTGCCTGGGGTTTTATTCTGACGTAGGATAAGAGGGAAGAGAAAATCATGCCATTGTGGGGAAAAATTATCGCTTTTTAGCTAAATGACTTTTAAGTGGGAGAAGAATGAAGCAAAAAGATTAAAAGGCAGATTGGGGGACAAAGTGTTTAGATTGCTCTGGGGTTTTAGTAAAGGCCATAACCATGGTTAGAAATTAAACAACAAAAATAAACAACATCTTCAAAATGTTCTGTGAAGATTTCCTTCTCGAATGAGCATGTAAAAAAGGCTAAGGCTTTAGCATTCTCTTCCTGGCACACTTATTTGTGGCTAAAAATTACAGTTTTTGACCGGTGAAATGTGTTCGAGAAAAGCCAATCTCAATCTCCTCAAACTTTCTCAGTAATTCCAAGAAATGACGTCCCTGGTGATACTTTGTTTCCAATTACCGACAACCAAGATCATAATCTCAACAGAAATCTTCAAAAGTAGTATGTCAAACTATGTCTACATTTCTATGAATATAAAGCTTCTAACGCATTCCAGTTGCATCTTGTCTCCCTTTCTTTATCAGTTTACAATGGTAGACATACGCTGGAGCAAAAATTTTGTTCCAGCTTTCTATGCGTTGCACGATTCTTGTCTGATCGAAGCACAAACAAGAAGGGGGGCTGGGCCCTCCATTGTTTTGATGTATATCTGGTTAGCATTAAAGTAATCTACCTTTTTAGAAATTGATTCGAAAATCTGGCATGTCCTTGCAAACATTGAAACTGAAGGCCCGATGAGAAATTTTTTCCGATTTTGGAACTTCCATTAATTATCGTATTATTATTCATTGACTTACAAAAGGCCTTTGATACTGTAAATCGTAACATTTTGCTTTCCAAACTCGAACACTATGGAATTAGAGGGAATGCACTTGGCTGGTTCAAATCATATCTTACAGATAGAGCACAGTTTGTTTCAATTAATGGTAGAAATTCAGAGCAACTGAAGATTACATATAGTGTGCCCCAGGGATCAGTGCTAGGACCCTTGCTCCTTCTTTTATACATCAACGATAAGCTAACCCCAATGTATTTCCATAACTTCTTTATCCCTAATACATCTAATCACTGTCACGGCACAAGGCAATCAACACGTGATGATCTCTTCCTCACTATGGCAAATACTTTACAGTACGGCTTAAAATCAACTCGATATATGGGGGCAAAATTATGGAACAATCTACCTGTAGAAATAAGAACTACCTCTTCTAAATTCTTATTCAAAAAATATTTGAAAAATTATCTTCTAGAAAATATTTGAAAGTCAGTGAGCTCTGCAAAATTTCTTGTTTAGTCCATGAAGTAATTTAATTTAATTCAATGTGACATAATTATAGATGAACATATGGATTGCTGAAACAAAAGGGGGGCCTTCATCTCGTTAGTTAACCTACTTTGAAGGCTCCTCCTTAAGAATTCTGCTTCATTTTGTCTTTTGAATATTGTCTTTTACATAATGTTATTGTTGCTGTTGCGTTCTTTAGTTGATTCGTTTATAATTTATGTAACTAAATAGCTTTTAGAAATGTGTAGAATTTGAATTAAATCAAAAATCAAGATCAAATAGGTGTTAAAGTTGCTTATTTTTGGGCTTGTAAAACGGGCCCGGAAAAATTTTGCCTTAACTGAGAATCAGTTTGTTGCAAACATTGTCATAATTCATGCTTAAAACTTTTGCAATGGACAACAGAATGAGAGAACTAGGTTGGAAATGAAACGGGGGCCCAGGGGCTTGCCCCCGGAAAAGTTTTTGAAAACACCCTATTTAGAATGTCGGGACATGTCCCATGTTGAAAATCAAAGTTTTTCTATCCACAATCGGCATTGGCATGAAGAAGACTCTCTACGCGGCTTGTAAAATTTGTAGGTATCAAATGACGTACTGTCCTCAATTTTATGGATCAAATGATGATATCAAATGATAGATTTTGAAAGTTGGACTAAAACCCAAAGCCCGTTTTTCAGTTAGCGAGACACTCATTTCCAAGATTTTATAAAGAAAGCAGCTTCTCTGGCCTAGAAGACGATATTATTTTCGATTAAACTCGATCTCGAAATCTTTAGAAATTTGACGAAATATAAGACTTCGTTCTCATCAAACGGTAACATAAACTTTTTTAAAAGTCTAACCCAATGACTCTGTTGCTCCTGCCTCCACTTTACAGTTACATATCATTTACAAAAGATATGATTCCAGTTCATCAGCGTGCGGAATTATGATCAGGTATTGAACATGTGCTCAAAACCGTAGACTTGTCCGAAAAATATCTGATAACATATCCTGGACAAATCGATTTTAAGAGATCTTGCTGCCATCCTTTTTGTGCAAATTGATGATTTTGCAGATTGATGGCTCCTTCGGTATGAGAAGCTGTGCGTAGAAATGGTAAAAGGATAAAGAATTTCTTGAGAAAAGGCACCGTCTCTATTCCAGGACAGAGGTTTGAAGAAAGATTGGAATACTTTAATAGCTAGTTGTAGCTTTGAGACCAGTTTTAACAAAATAGCCGATTTAACTTTTCATTAAATTTTCTAGAAGGTCCTTACATTAGGGCATCAATCCTCAACAAATTCTAAATGAATTTTTTTAATAAGTGGTCTGGGTTTTTCACTTCAGTTAGTGAAAATTTCTTTTGGTACAAAACTCCTGGTTTTAACGTACAAAAAGCAGGATGCCTATGAGTTGTTAGTTGAAATGCAAAACATAATAGCCATAACGTTTGTGTGAATCCTCCCTTCCCATCTTTGATTACATAATATGTGCAACACATCGATAATTTTAATCAGTTAAAACCATTCTGATTAGAAAGAGCACAGAGTAGTAGGGTAGTGCTCAACTAATTTTTTTCCAAAGTGCGAGCCCTCAAGTGCGGATTAATTTGCATCAGCCATAAGTATAACCATAAGTCAAAAAACTAATATGGTTAGTCAGAAATCATTGGTTTCTCAAAATTATTAGTCATCAGTTAATGGGCAAATAGTCTGCTAGTTTGACTGTTAGCTGGTGAAAATCTCTACTACCCCCTCAACAGAAATCGAATTAATTCAAGTATTGTGCACTTGCTTGAAAAAATTACAAGCTAACTAAAATTACAAGACGTTTTATACTCTGAGGAGTTTCAGACAATAAAAGCTTCTAGCATGTTTAAAATTTTAAAATATTGAAATTTTCAAAGTCATTTTCAAAGCAAAATGTGTTCTTTTTTAAGGTTTTTAGAAAATCTTGTAGAATTTGCAGATTGGGAAACTTTGCAATCAATCTTAATATTGCTCAACTTAAAGGTGAAGCTAAACTTTATATGGAAACGTACTTTGGTGATTATAATCAATTTTAGTTCTTTGCGAAGATTAGTTGCCTTTTGAAAGTTCTCATGTTTTTGAAAAGAATAACTTGGGGCAGAAGGCGCACCGGGAAATTTCCCGGTGTCCCGGTGGGCCAGTCCGCTTCTGGTGTTACAGTATAATATGTCGCCAAAAAGGAAATACCATCAAGAGAATATTTTACAAGCTGTCAATAACATGTTCCCGGAAGAAGTGTGCTTGGGCTGCGGTGACAATAATGAATTCATATTTTTGATGGTTTTGGAATACTCGCATGAATATTTATTCTTTCCCACAAAGTCTCTGAAAATTCAAGGCAAACAGATCAACGCTTGGGTTTACTTTTTTGCCTCGCATTCACTTTTTAAGCTAATTTATTTTTTTGGCACTTTTATTAGCCGTCCCTTAAACCGACCGGCCCTTCGGGTGATCGCCCGAATAGCCCGACCAGCCAGTCTGCCCCTGACTACTACAATACTTGACAAAACGGGGTTACAAATAAAAATAAACACGCAAACAAATACGGAAGGCTTCAAAAAAACGAGACAAGATTGCCTGAAAACCACAAAACAACGTAAAAATCACAGAACATCATTTGTTGTCCAGTGGCAGGGGCGAAACTTCACTATTTTCATTAGGGGGGTATGAAGCTTAGATACCCGACGAAAGGGCGTGTCGTGCCTGAATATCCTTGTTAGGGCACAAGCCTCAAGAGTTGAAATCATTTGGGACCCCCAGAGAGGGTCACTAAGTATGTTAGGCCTTCAGACAGAGCCTGTTTTCCAAAGCCAAAAAACATGCCTCTAGTTTTTCTGGTGTTGGCTATAAATATTTGTTTCCGAAAAGGAAGCATTTGTAAGGCCTGTCCTTTCTATAAAAGAAAAATAGTCTTCACTTTCTAAGTCACCTAGCTATTAAGAGAGCAATTTAAAAAAGAGATTGAAGTAGGGTCTCAATTTTATCACAGTGGAACAACAAAACACAGTTCGGATATTTCGGAATTTAGAAACAGCTACGCAGCCTACAATTTTTCAACAAAAAAGAGCTTCAGTTGCATTTTCTGAGATTGATTTTCAACTTTCGATTGCTCCTTAAGGAATTTAAACATTTTTTGACACCCAAACACAAAGTAAGTATCTCTGAATTCATTATAACAAAATCCCTCAAGCTTGTGCAGAGGAAAACCCTTTTATTGGAAATATTTTACAGGTACACCTATCATCAAAGCTCAGTTTTCGTATTTTCGTAATCATGGATATTGTTCAGAAATAGAAGAAACTCGAAAGTTTTTTGCAATTTATATCTTAATTGCAATTCCTTGGTAAATTTTCTATTATTTCCCGGTTGAACTGACGGTTTAAAGCTTTCTGTTACTTGTAACAGCTACACTCTTTTTTTTATAAGAACAATTTTATATGAACACGAGCCTCAAAACTGGTCAAAAGTTAAGAACAAATTAAGAACAAGCTGAGGCTGAGCTTCTGCAAAATGCAATTTCGAAAAACGTTTTTTCTCAAAATCGAGGATTTTCAGCGATGTGTGGGTGCTTTTTCGGTGAATATTCAAATTTGTCAGCAAATTAAGGCTGTCTCACTCACTTTGTTGGTCAAATGAGGCCTGAACACCTCCATAGAGCGAAAAAGCTAGCAATAGCGTACACCCTCTTGATTTAAGAACAAATTAAGAACAATCCAGCCTCAGATTTTCGAAAAAATTAAGAACAGTCAGCCTAAACTTAAATTTACTGGTTCTTATAAAAAAGAATGTATTTGAATTTAAAAAACTTTGGCGGCTGTACGGCCAAGATTATGTCGGGGCACAACTATTTATGAAAGTATGATGAAAGTTTCATACATTTGGAAAAGAAAGTATTGATTGATTCTTCTCAACAACGTATTCCAAGATGGTAAATTCTTCGTGTTTTATTTCTGATGCTTCTAAAATTGTCAGTGTTCCATGGGCTCCGATGCAGGATGGAAAGTGGGGGAGGAAGGGCGGGTCAGAGAAAATTTAGCAATAACAACCAAAGATTTTGAAAAAAGCTGTCTTGATTTGCAAAAATTGGGGGGTATGCCCTGTGTTCAGTCCCTCCTTGCATCAAACACACTTTACTTTCCGTCTGTACTTTCGCGGTCGATCAATACTTCAGACTCTACTTCCGTATCTCAAGGCGAAGATAAACATGTGCACGTCGAGCTCGAGACGAAAGCGCTGATCAGTGGACGAAAGACAGAAATGTATATATGTTGCTGTTGCTTGCCTCGTTTCTGTTTTGTTTTCCCAACTGGGCGGAGATTGAAAGGAAGATGGGGGGAAAAGACCATAAATGCAAAAAACCAAGCTAAGCTAGGGCAAAAAGTAGCAATAAAAGCGTGACCTAAAGAAAATTTCCAGATTTGCCCGACCGATATACTGGCTGCCAAAAATCTGCCTGACAAAATCTGTTGTTTTTTAAGATTGGGGGGTGCAGCACCCCCTATACCCCCCAGTGGTTTCGCCTCTGCTGACCGCACCGCACTGCGGAAGGAAATGCCGCAAACAAACAAACACAGATATGAAAACGAGGCAAGTCGGAGAGCACGTTGGTGGTGTTGCTGTTGCTGTCTTAGTGGAAGAAGAAGAAGTAGATGGAGAGAGAGAAGATCACCGAAGATCACCTATCTAAAGAACAGTGGAGAAGATGCACGCACGCGTGAAAAAGATCAATGTCGACATTCCAGTAGATTTGTGTCCACAGTTAGGTATGATTATGTTTATTAAAGCTATTTTCGATTCCTATTTTAATGTCGATTTTATTCATAATTAATTCTATCAACCAAACATCCATTGAAAATAATGATTGAGAAACATTGTAGTATGTATATTTCTTTGAAAAGACTGGCTTTAAATCATCGCAATAAACTTCTCTTGAAGTCGAATTTGAAAATGGGAACCTGAATAATGTTCACGATGTTTCCAAGAGGATAAAATTCAATTTGCAAAAGCCAAGATTCAACGAAAGTAAAGAGAGAATTTTGGTGAGTGGAAATTTATCCCTTAAAAATTTAGATGACCTAAGATATCTGTTACATAACCAATATCAGGTGCATCTTTTTAAGTGGGTCCAATATCAGGTCCTAAAAAGCTGATTTCAAATACATAATTTTTCACTTTTTTATTTGCCCTGTGAGAAATACATTATTTATAATACCTTAGTTAAATTTTTCTAAGTTGAAAAATTTTATTCAGACTTGAGATGCATGTGAGGCAAACAATAACATGAGTGTTAGTACTCTTTTTCAAACTCTTGCTGAAATTCTTTTTCTTACATTGATCAAGAAGCACTCCGAAGAAAAAGGCGAGTTTGTAAGATTTCACGTCTGATCACATCATACACTCGACTCGAATCATGCCATGCTAATACAAAAGGCAAATTAACAAAGCATCTAACAGCGTGACTCAATAAAATAAAAGGCGTTGAAAGCACTATTTAAAATACGTTAAGCGTTAACAAAGGGGTCAACAATCCGTTAAAAACCCTAAAAGCAGCTAAATAGAAAACAAAAAATGTAAGCATAGTTTCCAAACAATGAGGCATGATTTTAGATTGGAATATAGTTGGCTAAAGTTGATTTCATTTTGATATGCAAGGCTTTTAAATTATTTGTCATTTGTTGTATTATGGATAGAAATAAATAATTCCAGAAACTTATTAGAGCTATGGCTCTTTTCCTGCCTTACCAAACATGCAGCTTATGGCAAAGTTGTGTCAAAGAATTAGGTTAAAGAAATCATCAACAAAGTTAGGCAACTTAATACTCATCTTAAAGAATGTGTGGCCAAGGGCAGCAAGCTGTCTTATCAACCAATCAAATTTTCTGAAAACGTGTACTATAGTTTTCAGTCTATGCTTTGGTATAAAGCACAGGACCAGTCTAATTTTTCTGTTTCTGTCAAATTTTATGAACTTATTTTTATTTTCTTGAAGACTGCAGATTCTGCAACATTGAAGTACATTGGACAGCAAGTAGAACTTCCTTGTAGGTGAGGCTTTGCTAATGAATAAAAAAAGAATAATAAGAACTTATTTATAATTTATATAACTTATTTATAAGAACCTTTTTATTATAATTTTTGGAACAAGAGCAAGAATAGCCATCATTTATATGTGCAATCTTTAATTTACGAATTCATATTTGAAAGAGGCATGGAAAAGCAGAGATACCCCAAGTCCTTGAATTGCCCCTCCTGCAAAAATGCCTCCCCTTTAAAAATGCCCCCTTCAAGAAAAGCCCTCCCTTGAAAAAGCCCCCCTCAAAACATCCCCTCCCCTAGAACTACAAATTATCAATAAGCCCCCACTGCTGCCGTAAAACCTCAAATTGGCTCCCTTGATTTGTTGGTTGTTGCCATCTGGGGTTGCCTTTGGTTTTTTATCGAATTTCCACAAATATTTATATTTTTGTAACAATTAATTAAAAGTTAGTAAATGAATTCCTATTAAAATATATGAGATATTTTAATAATGTTTTCTGTATGTCTAATATAATTTTCTAAGCCTCCCTCGTATAAGCCTCCCTCTAATAACCCCCATCAAAAAATATAAAAGATAAATAAGCCCCCAGGGGACTAATCCAAAGATTTATGGTCTGCCAAACTTTAAATGGAAACACTGAAAATGGTGATAAATCATATGTTTCCACTTTTCTAATCTTTTTTCAAATTTTGCTGTGCCAAAGGCTTATTCAGTTAATTCCTATTTTGTTGTTTTTTCTTTTTATGATAGGTGACAAAAAATCTTGATGATCAAATTATATTATATTGTCAATTTATTTTTTGAAAGGTTATTGCATAGTTTTTGACATTTAGATTCCAAGCACTCAAGGGTTTAGTTACATCGCATCCATAAGATGGCTATTTAGCTATACATAAGAAATAGCAAAAATTTAATGTTATAAACTGGCAAATTGTCATATTATTAGTATGTTTTAAAATTTACTTTTAGGTATTATATAGGTGTTGTGGATAGTGATAGTGGTGACATGGAGATCTATAACACAAATATGTTTCACATGAAGCCATCGATTACAGGTAAATACAGCTTCAGACATTTTGCTAAGCTTTCTTCACTCGACATACCTTTGTTTTATTTGGAAAATATCTTGTCTTTGATTACTTTTACTTTAGTCCTTCCCACTCATAAACTTGCAATCATGAGTAGGTGCTATGTACTAGGCAAAAGTGAGCTCAGATAACATTAGTAAGCCATTTACCTTGATTTAAGAAAATAGAATTGAAATTTTGATTGATTGTTATGACAGACCATCTTTATTCAGACTTAGGCATCACTTTCAAACACTTTCTGTTGGTTATTGCTAAACTAGAAAGCAACACCAAACTGATATTAGCTTCTTCAAAAGTTTATCGTATAATTTATAGAATTATAATTTATTAGTACCCAATCATATAATCTATTTTTTAAATTCTTACCTTTTCCTCTTCAAGTTTATTATTAGTCTTCTTATACATTGTCTTCAATTTCAGAAGAGAATAATAAGTTATCAAGTACTAATGGAAATGAAGTGCAAAAAACTCTAGCTGAAAAGGTTAGAAAGTATAATCATATTCATTTGCAAATTTAAGTCATGCAATGCACACTTTTTTCTCTACTCTTTCAAAATATTTTTTTTTCTGAAAGTTATGGAATCTAAGGTATTTTAAAAACTAAAAATTGTTAACTTGCTTCGAGGGAAGGAGACTGCAGCTTTAAGTGCAGCTTTAAGTTTTGTTTAAAGATTAGTTGTGTTTCACAATCTTAAATCATCAATTTGCCCCCCTTTGTATAAGTCTTAAATTGCCCCTACCCTTGAAGTGAAAATTGATTTAAAACCCCCACCATTGATCAAGCCTCCACCCTATAATGCCAATTACTGCATTTTAAAAAGGCACACAGGCACGTAATCACAATACAACAGGAAATTTTTTGGTATATCTTAAAATCCTTGAGATTTCTGTGTCATTTCCAATGAAAAGACTTATGCAAGGTTATTTTCCCTACAAAGGATTTCTTATATTTTTCAGAATGACCTGTTAGTTGAAGCGTTTGGCACAGCAAAACAAAAGAGGGCTGTTTCAGCAAGAAAGAGAAATATCGTTGATAAAGCCGAGATCAATACAAAAATAAAGAAAATGGCAGATAATATTGACTTAAGTATATATTCCCCAGAACCAGATGGTAAGTTATTTTGACTTTTTCATTTCGACAGGAATTTTGTGTTTTATTGATATGTAAGAACATTATACAGTAAAAATGATTTTTAGTTGTCCTTCTAAGTGAAAGCCTCTATGATTACTTCATTTGCTGAAACATGTACCGTATCGATGCGGTGACGTGACAGGAAGCTATCCATCATAATAAATTTTTTACAATGGTTCACTTGTTCTAAGACATTTTCCTGTATTTTTTTATCACTTATCTCACACCCTGCCCTCCCTTCCTCCAATAAAGATTCGTTCAGACTGCCTTGTGTTTAGGATTCTTTAGGGCAACTCTCTGTACCCTTGTTGCTTGCTAAATTTTCGCTTGTTCCCCTCTTCCTTCGAGAAAATTTCCCAGTTCCCTGGATACCTCACGTATTTTCCAATTTTCACGAAATCTCCCAAGATCCCTCCTTCTTTGTTGTTATGCATTTTAATGTTGAACAAGATAACCAGAGAACACGTATGCCGGTTGATTAGAGAACATAAAGAAGGCTTAACTCTCTTTTGCTGGTGTCATTAGTTTATTTGCATTTCAAAGTACATAAACCACTAATTAGTTTCATGGCATCTTTCTTCCAGAATCACCAATGTGTTCCATCGCGCCTCCAATCAACCTTCAAGCATCGACCCCAGATCAGCTATATTCCATATCAGACAGTATCTTTTTCTATCTCCATCAATTTTCAATCATTTTGTTATTGATAGGTTTGTTTTGCTTACGAAATGCACGACAATTTGAATATTAGCCCCTTAACTTTTCAGTGTTATGCAAGCAGTCATATTTTTTTCTGGCTACCTACTGACCGAGTATTGACAATTTGAAAATTTTTGAAAAATTGTGCGATGCTTCTCGATTTCGTTAAAAAAGGAAAGCCAGAAGCTTCTGCAGCCAACAATTTTCAACCTTAAATATTTGAAGTCATTTCCCCGGAAGACGAACCTGCTTTAATGGAAGATGCAGCTGAATTTATGACGGCGGATAGAGAAACATTAGAAAAATGGCGCAGCGAAGAGAAGTACGTTTTGTTGAGTATCGAGGTTTTAAATTTCAGTAAGATTTCAGCACAAATTTAAGATTAATTGCAGTAAAATTTCAGTTAAGGACATCAGCTCCCTCAGCTCCCTAAGAATATGGGGTTGCCTGGCGTGTCAGCGTGCAGCAGTAAAACTCACTCCGTTTCTCTAGCATTTCGGTGGTGTGAAAATAACCTGCTTTTTATTTCTGACCTATTTACAGATCTACGGGAAATCGTCTGAACAAACTCAGGCTTGCCGTTTTCACGTGGGACTCCTCATTTTTTGCCTTTTCACGTAGGACACTCCTTTTTTCTGAAAATGTAGCAAGGGCTAATGTCAGACAGTACTCAACTAGTATTGTACATCTTCGGTCACAATTATTTACTTTGAAGTGATATGCCAAAGGTCTATTTTCGAGCTGGAAGACTCGCTAAACTATCCATTGTATGTGATTTGATACACCTCTGATATTTTCACGTGAGTAACAGACTGTGCGGATATTTTTAGATATCTTGAGAAAATGAACTAGTTTTTTATATAACCTTTCCCCTTTATCCCTAGGGCACACCAGAGAAACCGCGCCTCTGGTGAATTTTATGTGACTATTGGCATTGAAAAGCTAGTTTTGTCAGGAAATTATTGAAAACGAAAATATTGCTTTCAGCCTATTTACATCAATTGACCAGAAGATACTCTTCTATGCGTTAATACAATGACAATTGGCCTAAATGTAAACCTATGGTAGTTTTGTTACTGCAAAAATGAGATATTGGTAATGCAGTGCTACATAACTTGTATGTGGAGCATCTGTTACTTCCAAGAAATCAATTAGCTTCAACAATGTTATTTCAAAAGAAACGACGTTTTACTTTTCAGATATCCCGAATATGTTTTGGATCACCTAAAAAGGCTACCGGCAGAAGAAGATGAAAAGCTGCTCACAGTAACTCGCCTCCGTTATCTTACTTACATGGTGCAATTTTTCAAATTGACACTTGCCAGTTTGCGAAAGAAAGGTGAGTTCTTCCATTTAATTTTTTTCGTTCTTGTATAAAGCAACCGTTTTAGTTCTGTCAAAAAACGCAGATATTGTGAATAAAAGAAAGGAACGGAATTTTTCTGAAAACGTGACGGAATGAAGATGTTGATATAGCTTGAGTTTCCTTTTGCGTTCTTGATAACTTGGTACAGCACTACCTGAGTTTTAAAGCGTCTTCTTCTTCATTCCTTGGCGTTCAAAGCAAAGAATTTCGAAGCAATTTTATAAGCAACGTTTCTGTTATTGTAGCAAACGTTTCTTGCAAGGTTCTTTATTCAGTTCGGTAAAGTAAACTAACAGTTACAGTTAAGTAGCTTTTGGTCTGTGGTTCAATTATCTAAGTTTATGTGGCTCTGCTACCCGGGGTAGCCAAATACGAACATTTCCCGGAATGTAGCTTTTTGTTTAATAGTTTTGTGGTTTATCAATTTTTGAAGAATTAATTAATTTTTGAAGAAATGAAATGTTGAATTAATAAAACTGAAACTGTTTTCTCAATTCTAGTAGACTTTCGATTCACAGACAAAGACTGATTGAGATTTCTTATAAAGATTAAATGTAGCCTGTGATGCGCAAGGATTGGCCTAAGTTCCCTAAATAGGCCAAGTTAGGACGATTTATATTGATTTACATTGTCCCATTTTAGGACGAAATTGAATATTCTTCATCAGTCTCGGAAAGTAACATTGTAGAAAGTAAAATAATTGTCAATTTGAAACTTACTTGGACTAACTACGGCTATTCCAGTGGTTTGATTCGAAGCAAATCTTATTTTACGGGGGTTACTTTCCAAAACCCCCTTAATCTTGGATTTTTTTATTTCAGATTGCCTCCCTGGTGTTCCTTCTCAGATTAAAGATCGACTGTTTTCAGAATTTTCTCTTGAAAAAAACAAGAAAAGGTATTATACATTACTTTCCATTCTGACATAGCTCGTAATTACAATCCATGAGGAAGAATAAGCCTTAATATGATGAATTAATTGATTGATATATATTTTAAAACAGAAATTATTCGTTAAAATTCTATTTGCTGGACACAGCTTTGCTTTCGAGAGCGCATGTAGGTCCCAATAATTACCTTTAACTTGATCAGACAAGATTTTTTTCCAGGCTCATTCCGAAAAGATTCAAGGACAAAATATTGTGTTACATGCTGGTGCTGGCGCTGCTGATAGATGAATGCGTGTTGGACTGCTCGTCTTTGATGAGAGACCTCAAACTAGGCCCTGCAAGGTGATTGATTGTTTCATCTAGACTCGAGTTTACATCCACAAACGACCATTAACCTGCTTGGGTGCTTGTAAACTCACGTTTAAACCCAACCTCGTTTCTTAATATTGGCAAAAATCTGTAACATTTAATCGGCCATAGCTCCGACACAAACTTTTTATAAATCTAGAATCCATAGGGCGCGGAAATGGCTTTGTTACATTAAGTCTCATCTTGACTAATATTCATCTTGAATTCAGATATGTATTCTTACGACAAGTTTTGTAATAGATCATAGGGTAATAGATGCATGTCCAGTTCTGGTGTTGGTTCCTGCGTGAATAAAAGGCCTAAATATCCCCATTTGGGTAATGTTTTAAATAGAGCTGGTTAAAGACTCTCTTAAGCTGTTAGTTGGTTATGCAATTGTATAACACAAATTTATATCCAAGTAGCCTTTATTCAGCTTTCTCTTTTTTTAGGATCTCTCTTCACCTGAAAACAGTTGGATGTTATGTTGAAAACAAGAGAGTTAAAGAAAGTGAAAGTGAATCTGCAAAGAAATCCAGAACTGTTACAGTTGCAAGTCTAAGATTGCCTTTACCTAGCAGTTTCTTGCAAAGAAAGGAAACTCCATAAATAACGTGAAAATTCTTGTTCTTGGGTCTGTCTGTTTGTGTGTTGGTGTTGTCCATATTTCTTGTCAGAAGATACTCTGAAACCTAAACTGAAATAAAACAGCTTCATATGCGCATATACTTTTAAAAATTGTGTTGGCTGTTTTATGAAAGAGCCTACTCTTCGGACTGGGACATATCTAGGTAGATCTCATACTGAATAGATGTTGTGCATATTGAACTTGTGTTTGTAGGCAGTGGCATGGTGGCTCAAAATTGGCTAGAAGAACACCAACCTTTTTTGGCGCCCCCTAAAGTTAAGCCCATGGTACAACGCTATCAGGGCAGGCGAAGTGTGTTTGAAAATGGGGGGGGGGAGGCATAATGGTTTCATTGTTCAGGGGTTTCATGAAGGGCGCCACAATTTTTAGCAACAAGAAAAATTTTACAAATATGACGTTCTTGAAACTCTAAAAACTCATCTAAAAAATTTTCAACATAGATTTAGAAACCAGGAAGATTCATGGAAATATTCATAAATTGTTCTTTATCATTACGAAAAGAATCTCGAAAATTTCAATGAAAGGGTTTAGTGAAAGCCGCCACCATGACTGATGACAAGAAAAATTTTGAAAGTATAACTTTTAGGGGTGACCAGAAACTGCACTTGAAATACGACGACGCTTTGGGCCCAATAGAGATATAAGAAAATATTCATATTGCTTATTTTTATTATTATGTACCATAGTTTTATCCGTTTTGCATTTGAAAAGATCGCGACATGTAGATGCTAAGAGTATTGCAAAATCTTAGGAACACGTTTAACAATAAAACATGAGCAATGTATGACGCGGTAGTGCGGGGGGAGAAAGAAAGAGACGAGAGAAAGTCTTTTTGTTCATGCGCATTAATAATAGTATTTGTACAACGGTTCTGCCTGTGACCACACAACTCTTGAACTTTCTGCCAGGGCTGCAACTGATAATGTGCATGTGCAATGACCCTTAAACGGGGGCTAGTGCAGGTCTGGAAGACAGGCATGATCAGGGTTGGTATATTGGCTTGTTTAAGCCAAATTCCAGAAATTTCGCTTTTCTCGAACTTGTTTGGCTTCAGAAATTCCTTTTGGCTTAAAGTCATTTTTTGGCTTAATTTTGGCTTTTTCCCACAAGTACGGGTATATAAGTACTTATTTCCTACCTACCTTTTTTTCATCATTCTAACAGAAATTGACATATATTCTAGCAGTTAATGCATATATTTTACTGTGATTTTGACACTTTTTTGTACATCTGCGATTTTATCCATCTTGTCCGATTGTTACGTGGTTTTCGCTTTGTTCTTCATTCTTTCTGCCTGTTGAAGCAGGGTTTAATGACCGCGACGCGAAAAGGGGGGAGGGGGACTTGGAGGATGTTGTGTCGTATGGACTGACTTTGTACTTTTTCTAAATCCAATGATAAAATGTCGAGGGAAGGGTAAATATTCTGATAGCAAAAACGGCTAAGCCTAAAATTTTCTGTTTGCTCCCCAGTTGCTTTGTTTTAATTTTACTAAAAATGCGTTCACTTACATGTACATCATGTGTTAGAATTCTATGAATACAATGAAAAAGTGTTCCATCAGTCAGTTGAAGAATACCTAAGCATTTTCACAAGAGTGGATAATTTAAGCCATGGGTAGAGAAATACGTAAGGGTTAAAGGGGGTCAAGCACCCTATGGATTGAACAAAATAGTTACTTCTAGCCTCGTTTACAACTTGAAATGTTCTTTTGTTTTTCTGCCTCGTTTACATTTTGGCTTTATTTGGCTTTTTTCCAACATTGATTTGGCTCGAAGCCCCAATAGAATCTACCAACCCTGGGCATGATTCATCTCACGAACAACTTCATATCAAATACTTCGGAGCTCGGCTATGTCAAGTGGATTTCTTCGTTCGCATTTGTTTTCCACTTGATTTTGGCCCCCTTTTGAAAAGTTGGACCACCTTTCGCACCCCTTGATTCCTGGTTGCTGGAGGGGCATGTGCCTCCTGGCCCTCGCAGCCACAACCCCATTGTTTGTAGGACAACAAAAAGAAAATGAACACAGGCAGTTCTCACATGGCATTAAGCCATTAAGTACAAAAGCCATTAAGACAGAAATTAGATGTCAACACAACAAAATACATCAATATTGTAAATAAATGTTCACGTTTCAGCTCAGAAATTATTCTAAACATGCTATTATTTAACATAAGTAGGCGAGGTTGTCAAAACAATTTACCCTGATGTGTAGTTACTGAAATAAAAGCTCATGCTATTTATCCGGGAGTTTTTTGAGAGTAACAGGATTCCAGGATCTATTCTCTGTGGTACTGCATCCAAGGATATCGATAATCGTTTTGTTGGAATAAAATTGACCATAACACCTCCTTTAAAAAGTTACCAAGTTTTGTATTCCCATATTTTTTTATAAATAACATGTAACTCACAATAACTATTGTAGGAGGAACAATTGAAATCATCCATTGAATATGTGAAAACATTCAATTTTACAAAAATGCCTAAAAGGGTTTTATTTTCTTGTACACTGTAAATAGCAAAAAGCCAGCAATCAGCTAGCAACAAAACATCATTACATATTGTCTGTATCAAAACAATAAATGAAACATAAATCTATTGTTTTCTCTAGCTGTTTTTAATGAAAAGAGTCCTGCTCTGCTGGTTTTCCAACCCACTTTCCATAACCTTTATCTTCTAAATGTTTGAATAATAAATGCTTTGATGTTTGGTAGCCAGTTGCTTGTTCTTTAGCATCATGATAAGATGCTGCCACCTGTTTTGTTTTTGTCATCTCCATAAGTTCACAATACTTTTTGTAAGATGTTGATTTGGATAGACGTGATGGTGTTGCCACAGGTGTCCTGCCAGTCACCCCATTTATAACTTCCATCGTTGTTTGTCCATAATACCAGTTATAACTGTTGTTTGTTGCTTTTGAGGTATTCCTGCTTTCTTTCTTGGATGGAGTTCCAAAATCAGGCCGTACAACTTTAAATGGGGAAGGGAGTCCTGAAACATAGAATATGATGTAATCGAATAAAAATAAAAACGGTCAAAAGAAAAAAATTGGGTTCATGTTCATAGAGGCAAATTGCTTTTGGAGCTGCACATTTAACAAAATCACTTTTAAGTCAATATCAAAGATTTTCTTCCATTGCTTTTTGTCAAAAATGTTATTTTCCCCTTGTCATACTGTGATAAAAGCTGTTGAGAAGTGTGACAAAGAGTTCAGGAAAAGGCATGCTCATGAAATAAAATGGTCTGGACATGATTACTTGGTTTTTACTTGACCACTCAATGTAGATATGCAGCAACAGGGAGCCAACAAGCTGCTTTCTCACAGAAATTCAGTATAAATTACAGGCTACATAAATTTTAAATAGGAGTGGCTGATGGATGCAGATATTCTAGGATGGGACAAATGCGATTTCTGTGCATGTAAGATTTGATTTTTTGGCCCCCTTGATCTTTCTGATTTTATGTTTTAAAGGGCTAATCTCCTAAAAAGACATTTGTAAAAACGATATTGTCCCTTTTTTAATAAAATTGGGTAATTTTACTATAAGAATTTCTACAAACAGACTATGAAAAAGCCCTCATTTTGATGTCACACCTTAAATGCCCTGTCTAGACTAGACAGTCTAGTGCACCTTTAACAATTAAGTTCCAAGTAATTTCAATAATTGCTCTTGACAGGTTAGACTAAGTGCATCACAGAAGTTGCTTTCATGCCTGCTTAGAGACACAAGTGGGTTTAGAAGATAAAACAACAATGGCCTAAAACTGTAGCCATTTAGCCATTAATTAATACATGAATAAAACAATTTAAAGCTAACATGCCCACAGAAATAACAAGGCATGTGATGAGTGGGTAGGGTTGAAAAAAAACTCTACTCTCCAATTCCATGTTGCCTTTCAATGTGCGAAGAAGAAACTACACTAACATTATGTTTAAATACTCAAAAGACCAATGCATACTTGCTTGGTACTATGGCCTTATTAATGAGAAGGTAATGCCTACTCTAGCACAGCTACAATGAGCACAAACACTACAATCAAGCTATCTGAGCCAAAAACAAAAGTCCATAGGGTACCAAAAAGCTGTGTGTTCTGGGTCATTACTTTGATCTTTTTAGGATTAGAGATAGTGATATTCAACCATATACAGTCATTGTTGGACTTGATAAGGTGTACCAGAAAATTGGCTTTTACAGAGCAGCTCATATTATTCCCATGATACTCTAAATCAAAGAATGAAGACAGGCAGACAAAGACTGAAGGGAACAGATAAAATCAATAATGATCAATGGCAGTAATAGTGCTACTGACCTTGAACATCGGCCACTCTTGAGTACAAGGATCTTGTGAAGTGTTCATAGTGATATTTATCACCAACAATAAGGCCAGTCAGATAAACAGGCTTCATGAAATTTGTTAGAATGGAGCCCTGGATTCCAAGCACATTCCATTTCATGAGTTTGTCACTGCATGACATGGTCAATAACCTTTCTCCTGCAAGAATGCCATCAGTAGTTTGCAACCCAGCTTCTGGAACAGGTATTGTGCCTACACAGTAGAAGATCATAATTCAGGATGAGAGCTTGTGATGTAATTAGTAGTAGAATGCAGGTTGGATTCCTTATATCATGCTAATGAAATTACATGTAACTTAGCCCTTCTCAGGAAAACCTTATCACAATCAACTTTATGATGACAAAAAGAAAACATTTGCTTCTTCACTCTGTTTATTCATGATTAGTAAAAAACAATTTTGGTCTACAGCAGAAACTTTGATTTTGGCCATATTTAATTAATCAATCAAGTTTACGTTAGCTTTCTTTTATGTGAATCTAAATTATATTTTTTCAAGTAAAATGTTCACAGAAAGAGGATCCTGCAAAAGCATGAATATTTCTATACAATTTGAATACGTGAGTGTACAATTAGTGTAAAATTTATTCAATCAAAGATAACTTTGAATTTGATTTTTAAAAACATTAAAGTTTGATCAAAAAATCAAATTCAAATGCTTTGTCTATATTGTTACCTCACACACATGATGGATTTCTTGCCAAAATTCAGTTTGTTCCTCAGGTCTCTAAGCAGCAACAATTACAAAACTACCTTGAGACTAGAAAGCAGCTCAGATTGGCTCAAATGACTTGCTATTGACATAATTTTTATTGCTTTTATTAAAAACTATACCAGCATATGAGCCTAACTGAACTGCTCTTAAGTTTCAATGTATTCAACATCCCTTGTAAATCAATCTTGGAAATTGCCTTTTGTTGAAAGTTTTATCCTCTGCACTAAGCAGTAGACATAAAGCAACCACAACAAAAGTAGCAACTTCTAGATACCAAAAGTCAACTATTTCAACTGATTTCCAAGGGATTTTGAGTGGTTTGAAACAACCAAAACCTGACACAAGAAGAAAACAGTACATTTAAAACAAAAAACAAACAATAACAGTAATGTGAAAAAACACAAAAATCCCATTATACTACAGATTGGAGGCAACTGAAGGAGGCAACTACTACAATGACAGAGGCAACCGCCTAGCCCAGGGGTCGGCAACCCATGGCCCGGAAGGTATTTTTGTGTGGCCCGAAAGGCTTCTGTTAATCAGTTGTTAATGCGGCTTGATGCACGAGTGCTGGTTCAGTTCCCAATATTGGTTCAGTTCCCAATATCAGTAACTTCTTGCCTAGATCAGCATTCCTTGTACATTAACATTACTTCAAAGCCATCCAAGGTCAATTTGTGAATGTCATGAATGCATCGTCACGTTCCAGCATATGCTACGTCTTCTGAATACTCAGCTGGATCAAGGGAACTTGGTGACTGGCAAAAACTAACAAAACTTTGCTATATTCCAAAAGTTATGTTCCTCTTTTGTCTCGTTTTAAAGAGTGGTAATACAAAATTTAAAGGTAGAAATACACAAAAAATGATGTGAATAATGTTTAAAAGAATAGGCAAGGTAATGTATTTTTTCCTTTGTAAATACACAAATATAAAAATATTAGCAACAGTTCTGCAAGGGCTAAATAGCCCACGCAGCCAAACTGGCACGGGCTTTTTACACCCTGCATTTTTTTCCTGGAGAGGCCTGCAATGAAGCCAGGGGAGACCTGTGGCAGCTTGGGCTGGCATTTAAGGTATTAGTCTGATACAATTTCCTTTTCAAAGGGATGGGACTTTGGTTTCTTAGAATTGCCAAAAATTTATTTTGCTCTTTTGTCCGTTGCCTCTTTTTCATAACAATTTCTTGGCTGTGACCAGCTGAATGCTTACCAAAACCATTTGGAATGCTGAGAAAAAGGGCATTATGTTTTCTATTTCTTTCCTCAAATATCATTACTCCCATCCCCTTCCCCCAAGAACAATTTTGATAGATGTACCATTTTATTTTGAAAGACTAGTATCATTTTATTTTGAAAGCTCAAAATATTTTTGCATTGTATATTTGATTTTGCTTTTTATGATAATTGAATTAATGGTAAAAAAGGGAAAAGCAGTGGAATACACCATTTATCTTCATTCTGACCCTCCTCCCCATTGAAAAGTTGGCATTGAATAAGCCTTTTATGTACACCAAGGTACTAGACCTCAATCATTCAGTATTGCAGAGGTCTGTCTCATTGTCCTTTGTGACTCAACGTGATATAGAACTGTTTGTCTATTGACAATCCAACTATGAAAAATTGTTCGCAGTACTAGATTCCTCTTTCTAGTGATAAAATTCTGCAAGGCCATTTAACCCCTGCAGCTGGCAATTTCACATGACATCAAACAAACCGAGGTATTGTGTGAAAACTCCTGACCTGTCATTAAAAGTCAATTTGGCCATATTAGTTATAAGAACAAATATTCTCCAGGGACCACACCCTTGTACAACCCTTCCTCTGGCTGGTTTGCTCTGCTAAAAGTTTTTTTGCTTTACTAGTACCATCTTATTTTCGTGCCAGCCGCTACTGGTGTTATTGTTAAACTTATGCTGCATTCAACAGTCCTGGCCCTTGTATTTAACCCACTCAAACTAATATCATTGCAAAGTGGATTGCAAATAAAATTTGTGGTGCTATACTACAAACTTTGGTTAAACAGCAAGAAGGTATGAGTTTTCCAGTTTCTATAAGATCTGCTATCAGGAAAAAGATGGTGGGCCGAGACTCCACTTAAAGAAAGACACCTTTTTAAAATTAACAATGTGGATTTTTAGAACATATATACTTTTAGTGGTCATGCCTTTTGATGAGTAATTTGATGGGTAAAATAACCTTTGCACAAATAAATACTTTCAAACTTACCCTGACCATTTTCAACTTTGGTTCTTAGTATGCCAACTGTTTTGTTGTTTGATGATATTTCAGCGCTATAAACTCTTCCATCTCCACAAGGAGCTGTGTTGATGTAGAGAAACAAATGCAGATCAGGCTTCATTTGAAATAACTGAGAATCAGGATCTCTTTGAAAGCAGCTTTCTTTGTCACTTGCTGCTAAATGCAACTGATCAAAAAAGAATTGCTTGAGGCAACGACCTGCAATCACTTCAGCATGACAATCATTTAAGACCTGGCCTGAGCAGTTTATGCTTTCACCACTTATACATTTTGTTCCTGTTGCAATACTTAGTATCTCAAATGCATCTATCATAACACCACCAACCTCTTTTGTCATAACAACTGATGCTATAACTTTGTATGGGGTATCACTCTGAAAAACACTGCTGAACTTAGCATTGATAGCATCCAAAACTTTATCAGCAAACTCCACAGAAATGTCAAAATTATTATGAGATGTCTTGATACCTATCTCATTAATTGATGCATCAATTCCATAAATGACTTCCAATGCTTTCGAGGCAGCTACAAGTTTTGCAGCTTTTTTAGAATAACCAACTCCATCAAATGTTTTGTCCCCCACTGTTACTACACATTTGTACTGTATTCTATTGTTTCCAAAATTCTCTTCTGTGTATACAAAATCTACTCCTGGGTGCAACTCATTGAGGATGCTAACTGAGTTCTTTTCACACTGGCCTTGATTCCCTGTTGGTAGTACCATGGGTACATCTCTTGATGGATAAGCTTGTTGATCGCTTATTTCTTCTACATCAGTCAAGACATTAACATCAGTCAAAATATCAACATCAGTCAAATTGGAAAGAGCAATTTGGGGATCAGGATTATCTTTTTCAGCAAGGTACTCTGCTTTAATATCATCTTTCAATGAACTCCATGCATCTACATTTATCCCATGGTTTCTCTCAAAAACTTTTAAAGCAAGTTTAATCTTTGCTCTCTTCTTTGATTTAGCTTCTGCTACAATGTACTGCCCATTAATTATCATTCCTTGCAAAAAATATGGAACTTTCTGGTCAGTTAACTCTTGCTCCATGAGCTCTAGAGATCCATAATACTCATGGAACATCTGAAATGGGTGTTTTGAAGTATCAATAATTCTCTCTACAATTGTCAAATTACTCTTTTCTATGTCTTCATTGTCTTTTAGGCCCAATTTTGCAACCTGGAATTTTGCCTTTTCTTTTCCTGAATGAACACATTCATATTCCTTCCCACACATAAACAACTTTGCCTTGCTCAGTAACTTGTCACCATCAGCAATACTTTCAAATTCATATTTACTTGAAGGATCAATGTGTTTAACTCGAGCATATGCATGCATTTTCCCAAGAACAGAAGCTTTTCTATCTTCAACTGAAATTGATTTTCCTTTTGTGGGAAAACGAACGCCAAAAAAATTTGACAGAACGTTATTTGCTAATTTTTTCCTTGCAGCTTTCTTTCCCAAGCCAGTACCTTCAAAAGTATGACCTCTCAGGTTGATTCTACAGCAAAACTTTGTCTTTGACTTTGTTTCTACCCATTCTAATCTCTTTGAAAGCCCTGGTATCAGCTCGTTAAGTACCATACTCGGCGACTCCACCGCTCTTTGCAAATCGACTTCTTTATTCTTTAGAGGTTTTGTAAGTTGGGGTATCTCAGCGGTTGCTGCATCCGCTGAAAAATCGGTGTAGCCTTCGGGAAAGTAAGAAAAGGGTTCAGATTCGCTGACATAAGGACTGGCAGGTTTCTCTCCACCAGCAGAAAGTATATCTCCTCGATCAGGAATTTCAAGATAAGGTATCTCGTTAAACTGTAAACATTTCTTAGCTGCCTCTGTCTTAGCAGATTTCTTAGAGATACCATATCCAACATATTCTTGGCCATTGTATAAAAATCTCGCTTCGAATCCTGCATCAAATCCTTCACCTTTTGGCTTGATGTCAAATTCTACTTTGCCATATTTTTCGTTCAGTGCAACGAGTGGCGCTTTCAAGGACAGCGACTGAGAAGTCCTCCTGATCTTTGCAGGATTGTTTTTTGCAAAGGAGAAACTGCGTTTGCGATGGTGGTGACGCTTGAAACCTGTTACTTTTCCTCCTCCAAACGATAGGCCTTGCTTGGAATCTTGTCCTGTATATGGCTTGAGTGGTTTCTTCTCCATGGTCCTTGAAATGAAAACGTGAACGGAATGTTTTATAATTTGAAATCTGGGGGCACTTGGCACTGCACAGCAGCAACAGAAAGCTCCTCCGTCACTGCCACCCTGTCACTACTGCCTGTCACTGAGATCAGGCTACACGAGTGACAGTATGCAAGCTTCTTGGAAATGAAAGGGGGTCCAACAACGGGCTTTATAGAGACTTAGAAGGGGAAAAGGGATAATTTAACAATCACAACAAAGACTCCCACTTTTCTGCAGAGCTGAAGAAAATTTTTTAGGCAAAAGCGGAAATAAATTTAGTATGATTCTGTAAGTAACTTTGCCTAGTATTCTCTTAAATGTGTCCTTAGCTTTACAACGAGTTTTACAACGAGTAACGGCATGGCTTAGCAAATAGATCGAGAAACCTAGTCCAGAATAACTTGGTGCCAGCACAAATTGACGGAGTTTCGGTTTTTCCATTGCCTAAACTTGACACTTAAAAAGTATCATCAAGAAAACTTCAGAGTTTGGTCGTTTGGATAATCCATTCCTACTAAGAAAGAGAGAATATCGACGCAATTATAAATTCTATTCAAACTCATTTTGACAAGCCCAGTTTGAGCGTTTTTTGCAAACTTTTGTTAAAGCACTTAATTTCCGAAAAAGTTAAGATTAGATGTTACAAAGTTATATCTTAACTGTACAAAATTGCTTAACTTTTTAATTTTTAAGTTGATAGTTCTTCTGTTGATATTTCAACGTTCATGTTTTTTTATTAATCCGTGTTTCATTTATTTTTCTCTTCCATCTTATTACGGGTACTTTTAAATTTTAAAAAAAGGTTTCATTACGAGCTATATGATAGTGGTTATTCTAAATCTTAGCAAAACTTTTCTATTTCAAGTCAACATCACAATAGACGCGACTATGCGACACCTTCAGTCAAAATTCATTTTAGATACAGTTTCTGGCCATCCCTAAGAAACCATAATTCTAAAAATTTTCTTGCCGCCAATCATGGTGGCGGCCTTTCAAGACTTTGATATTTTAGCCCCTCCACTTTCAAACACGTTTCGCCGGTCCTGTAGTACACTGTTATACAGGATAAAAAGCTTAGGTTGCAATTATTTGGGGGGGGGGGGGCTCCAATGTGTAAAAATAATGTAAAATTCAAAACAAGAAATTCAGAAAAGATAGAATAAGGAGTCGTCACTACCATCTGGTAACAGTCTCGAACTCATATGGGAGGAGATTGACAGAAGGTTCTCAAAGAATAGAGATCTGTATCAGGATTTAGCGAAGCTAGAGCCATGATGCAGGAGAGCAAAGAGCCTTCTTTTCAAGATTTCTCGTTTATTCGCTAAATTTTCCGCTAGATTTCTCAGAAATTTTCAGGAAAGAACTGCTGGCATTTGCAATTTATTACCAGCAGCATATCGTTCAAATAAAAACAACAATTAGTGCAAATGGAGATCCAGAAAAAAGAAGATGATTTCAAAGAACGAGCTCTTAGAGAAGAAACATATGGAGAAGAAAACTATGACTTTCAAGGTGGGGCTTTGCAAAGAGAGAAAGGACGAAAGGACCCTAAAGTCGACATCGACACCGTTTAAAAAGGGTAGAAGCTTGCCAACTGTACATACCCTGCACATTCAAAACTTTGTCCCTACGCTCTTTTTATTTATAAAAACAATTTTATAAAGACACGAACATCAAAATTGGTCAAAGTTGAGAAAAAAAGAACAAGCTAAGATGAGTAAAATGCAATTTTGAACAACATTCTATCCCCAAAACGAGATAATTTAGCCATGTGTGGGTGCTTTTCGGTTAATATTCAATCTTGTCGACAAATGAAGCCTGTCACATTCACCTTGCTGGCTAGCTATCGCACTGCTTATACCCTAATATTTAAGAACAAATCAAGAACAACCCAGCTTCAGATTTTTGCAATAATTAAGGACAGTCAGCCTGGACCTAAATTCACTGGTTCTTATAAAAAGAGTGAATACAACATGCACGGACCAGCTTCCTTTGCTTGATCCTTTGTTGATTTTATGACATGAAGGTCTCTGAAATACATAAAGCGTTTCTTCCACCGAGCAGATTTTACTTGAAATTTCCTATTGAGATGAACGAAATGGACACAAGGCACAATTTTACCTAAAGAGGGCCTGGATTTTTAGATTTATTGCCAACAAGCAATCTTCAAATCCTCAAATCATTACTTTGTTTACCTTTATTCATATCAAGGAATATCATATTTAACCAACGGAGCAACTACCTTTGCTTGATCCTTTATTGATTTTATGACATGAAGGTCTCTGAAATACATAAAGCGTTTCTTCCACCGAGCAGATTTTACCTTAATATTTCTATTGGGATACTATTGGGGGGAAGGGGTGCGACACCCCTCGGTCGCAACGCCCCTGCTTCCTATATTCCACCCATCGCTTGAAGACAGTTGGATTATATCCAAAACAACTATCACAAAGTTTATGAAATTATAAAATCAATGAAACAAAATATTTCAACTACAAATTGAACAAATCTAAATTCGAACAAAGAAACGCATTTTCCTGATATATCTATTGGATATTAATTTGTAATCATTCTAGAAATCTGTTCCATAGGTAAAGTAAATATCAATTTTCAGACTTTTACAATTAAATGAAATCCCTTTGGCAAGATGTTTTGAAAACGCCATGCACATTTACGTGTTTACAAAGCTATATATGATGTGAATAGTGGTGCTTTGGGCCTCTTATAATTTTTATACTAAACACTTCGCATACACTAGATTTGCGATAGACGTTCGCAGTCTTCTTTGTCGTACATTCTCGAAATAAGAGAAAGTCAAAGCGTGCACTCCGCAACGACATGAACATATTGCATAGACAAATTCTTTCTTATTCTTTCATTTGAGACAAAGGATAGGAAAAGACCACTGGTCGTTTTCATGCACAAAAATTGCTATAATTATTTCTATTTTTTTGTTTTATAGCATATAATGCGATTACAATGCAAAGAAATAATTTCACCCTTCGTTCCGTTAATTTTCTAACAGATGCAAACCTACAGCGTATAAACTATCTACATTTTTATCCATTTTTTGAGTTACATCCAAAGTAAAACCCGCCGGGCAGTGAAAAAAATTATGGTTGGAGGAGTAGCATCACTCGAAAAATATCTCAAAACAAATCATTTTGACCTGGGATGTAGAAAAAGCGTTCAAACAACATAACACACTATTCTCCTCTCAAAATGCTAAATTTCTGCCACTGCCCACGAAGCAAATGTGTTAAACAAGAGGCCTCAATAATTCTGATTGTTCATTCGATGTGACCAGCGTTTGTGATCCACTAATATTTTGCGGCGTGTAACCCCTGTGATCACCACCGGATGGTTCCTCCATAACGTAAGCAATGCGAACTTTCTTTGTCGTCATGTCTCGTCTTACGATCAGGAAATGAAGGAACATATGGAGACAGAAACCAAGGTATAGGGGGGCACCGATGCCAAGGAAAAAGAGCATTGCTGGACCAAGATTGGCACGCGATAGCAGCTTTTCAACAATGCCATCGTATTGGTCCACTACAGCGGTGACAAATAAAGCCAGCTGAACCATTGTCAAGGCAGGAACTAAGAAATGGTTCACGGCAAGGGATTCATTTTGTCTTTGTGAACACGCATTAAAAGGGACCTTCATGAACATGTAAAACTGGAACAACAATCCGATTGCATTCAAACAGTTTTTTCCTGCAGTCATTGATAGGTATGACGTCAAATTTGTTTCGCTGTAAAACGTGGCCATGTGTGATGTAATCAGCGCCCTAACGATCATGAAGGTAAAGCCAACCCCACCCATGATACCAACCATTACGTCGATTGCCTTCGAATTGGACTCCTTCCACCTGTCGAGATCCTTGTCAAGGCTGTTGACCTTAAGGAATATCATCCCCAGGATGAACATTAACACATGAGCAGCCATTGCCATGCAGCTGGCCCAAGGACCGACAAACCCCAGGTACTGCAGTCCATTCACTGCTTGGAGAGCAAAGCACAACAAACCAACAAGGTAACCGCCTCCTGCAATGACAACAAACATAATGAGACTAAACGCAGAAACCGGCCTTAAGTATATTTGGCAAAGTCATTGAGCGTTGTCAGGAATCAGGGGTGTTACCAGAGGGCAAAGAGGGTTTCTCCCATCGAAGAAAAATGGAGAAAACAGTCACCAGGTTAATATTGTTTTTTGGTTTAGTGAATATCACAGATTAAGGAATAATTCTCCCGCAGGAGAAGCTTGCCCTCTTATGGGTATAAACACGAAACCCTAATGGGTCTAATACAAATTTGGCGGTAAAGAACCTCGAAACTTTAAAAGAAGAACTTGGTACACTCAAACTTTGCATAGATCACTGACAGAAAATTCTTGCCATGGATGTGACAAGTGCTTTCACTTTATTTGTTATAACATTTTGAAGTGTATTTTAAATTTTTTTGCTAAATATCAACTTGCGTTTAAATTACCTGGAATGAAGTTAATTTCTCAAATAAAATTATCATATTGATTGGAAAAGCTTCGTGGTCTACTACATGTTATGTTGTATAATTTGAAGGATCAACTTCTAGGGAAAGGCATCTGGAATTTGGTATAATTTGTAAAATCTTTGGAATTGATTTTGCAGAGGCAAAACTTTATAGCCTGGTCAGGACAATCTTAAAGAGCCGGAAATGACCCCTCTCCTGTTCATTTTTCTTTAGTAAGGGGGGGGGGAGTATTTCATATCATGACATCATATCGTTTGACTGAAATTTTTGACAAATTTACCAGTGTAGTGAATAGCCTGAGTGCTGTGTGGATGCAAAAGTTGGACCACTTGTCCAGACTTTAGGAACGCGTCATTGGTCTCCTCGTTGGACAGAGAATTAGTGAGGGAGTTTTCAGCTTGGTGGTTGCTGTTGCTTTGAATCACAAGGGCTTGTTGGCTAATCTCAACTGCATGTTCCACGAAAAGAAGACAACACATCAAACGATAGTCTATCAGCAAAGAGTTATAAGTTGCCTTGAAGATCGTGAAGCCATTTCCGTACAACTGCTTGCTGTAACTGTCATCCATATGTGATGTCAATATAGAATCGTCCCACATGATAAAATTGTATAAAGACAATACTGCGAAGTACCATTGCGAAGCAAATGGCAGCTTTGCACTAGGGTACCTGTGTCGTACACTGAAATAATAAACCGCTGCCTGGGTTAATTTCTGTAGCAGTGCTACAATGTAATCTGCTATATAGAAAGTGGTCTGCGGTCTTCTCAAATTACCAAGAAGAATCGCAAATTCCATTGCTATCAACGGCAGCGTCACTAGCCAAATGACAATGCCCATGTTGCCATGCTTGTGACCGATAGGCCGAGGTATCTTTTTCCCGTCAGCATGAAAGTTTGCAGGCCTATTGTCGAAAAACATGTAAGCTCCAACCAATGTGTAAGCCAGACCAACGCTGAGACCGATAATAAACATGTAAATTCTATAAATTGACAAGGCACTTGTTGTTCCAGAGACTCCTGCGATTGTAGCAACCAAAGCAGTCAGAAACAGAATAACGGCTCTTGTCCTAGCATCAAGAGACCGGTTCCGTCCAGTTCTAAAGTAGTATACAAAAACAATCACACATGATAGAAGCAACAGGATGACCGTCAAACTGCAAAGCACAATTACTGTCGATCTTGCAAGCGAGATATCTGCAGGGTTTGGGATCAGCGTTGTTAAGTTTTTTGCTGTTGAGGAAAACAACACTGTACTTGTCAATTCTGGAGCAGTGAAGCCCGCTGTTGGCCTACTTGTTGTGGTAATAGCAAGACCTTCCTTCATTCTCTTGAAGTCTTCTGGTTTTTTTGAACGAAAGTGAATCTCTGCTTTCGAGACATTAGCTTCAGACGGAACTGGTAAGAGGCACTTCCTACTTTGAGAACGCGTTGTTGCTTATGAACTGGGTCGGGCCACTGGGTCGGGGAACCTACTCGAGTATGAGTGCGGACACAGACTTGCTATTATTTCTCGCGTATATTTTGTCAAAGCATGTACAAGCAACACAAAAAAATCAGCAGAATACATTTCGGACTAAACATTTTCGGACAGAAAAATTCCTGACTTGTTTCACAAAATTTCGAACGATTTGAAAACATTTCTGACAAAACCAAAAACACTCTTATATGGGGACTAGGCTCGCTACTTCAGAAGCTCTAACATCTTCTGCTTCTCACGCTGCAAAAATCAACATAGCAGATGACAAGCGAAGGTATCTCGTCTACAATACAACATTGATCAGAGGAATTACAAACTGGACGAAATATAGCCGGATGAAAAGAATGGACAAAACAAAGATCGACAAAGATATGGATGTTGGCTAAGATGAAAGTATGACAGAGGATGACATAATAATGGGGGGTCTTGGGGGTATCAGACACCATGTTTCCGCAAGAAAATCTCCCTATTACCGTATTTCGGCAAAAACATTTTGATATTACCTTAATACCGAGTTTTCGAGATGAAAATTACCGATTTCTTTGCAATTTGAATTTTAATAAGCTTCATTTAAGTTTCGAGTAATTTTTGGGGAAATTGTCAAGATTCAAGCACGTAATATATGCTCATATATCAGCGGAGAGTTTATAGTATATCCAAAACTCACGCGCGCACGAAATATGAAGCTTGTGCAGGACCCTTTTTCTTCAATCTTTCTAACACGAATTCTCTGAAAATTTCATCATATTTAGCTAACTTTCCATCCACTCTGATGATTTTACTCTTCCAGAGTCTTTTGATGGATACAGCTAGTCTTTTTCCCTTAGTGCTTTGAAGCTTGTTTGTTTTTTTCGGTTTTGAAGCAGTTCAGTGTATACAGTTTCACTAAATTTATTTAAAATAGCATATTTTTAGAGGCGCCGGAAGCTTCATGATGCGGCGGAGGCAGGAACCGCAGAAAGGGCACCTTGGGGGTATTGGGAATCGTCGTTTAGCCTGATTGAGGGTGAAGGCCCTGTCTAGGGAGAGAGGTCGATGGTCTGTCTGGCAGCGTAGCCTCTAGGGAAATTTTGCGTTGCTTCGCCCCAAAGACTTTTGGAAATGGGGGCAACACCCAAAACATACATCCAAATCTAAACTACAGTTAAAATTCATCAGCGAAATTTCTTTCATCCCAACATCAACCATCAAGGGAGGCTGGACGCAATCCTACTTTGCATAAAAACAAAATTTTGTTCTGATGACTATTTACATAGCTTGATATAACTTTTGGATATAACTCCTCGGAACACACTGTTCTTTCTTTCTTAATATAAAGTTGGTGCAATCTGTAGCTATACTCAAGCTAAATAAAACCAATTTATTTAAATTACCAACACTAAATATAATTCAAATCAAATATAACTGATGTTGCATACGTATTCCTTGCAAAGATTACAAGTACAATTGAACGATGAAAATTCTGAGATTTTTTCTGAAATATTTGTAAAGTGGGGGAGTACTTGTTTGGTTTGGAACTAAGTTACATATTTGGCTACATCTGTTTAACAAAGATCTTGAGAGCAGAAAAAAATCATATCTTTCTGTTATTGTTCAAAATCTTGCTTATGAAATTTCATACTGCACCAAGGTTTCCATAAGGATCTCATAAGAAACTAAAATCGCTCAAAAACTTTAAGAAGCTTTAAGTGCTAGCTCACACGTACATGTACATTTTAGAGCAAGAAAGGTTACAAAAGGCTATACATAAAGCATAGCTACAATGATATAGATATCATATTCTGGTTTAGCTGTGAGCACATGTGGCATAACCGAAAGAGGAGGTCCTTTGCGAGCGAAGCAAGCAGAAAAATTTTGGCGACCATGCCCTTTAGATTAGCTAAAGATTCATTTCAGAACATATTTTGTAGTCATTTTCTTGCAATCGTTTAAAAAGTTGTACAAATTTGTTATGTCTTAGTAATTGCTTTCATAAAACGAAAACCTCGAGGGCCCCTTAAAACTTAGGTCCCGAGGCCAATTTGCCACTGCCCCCACTTTTTGGTAACCCTATTTGTAAGCTTGTTTATTGGTGTTTGTCACCCCTTTGCTCATTCCGTATAGCACCTAAGCAATTTAAGGGCTGCGTTATGTAGTTGGCAAAAAAGAGAAACTCTGTGAGCTGCAAAGAGACAGGTAACCTGAATTTTGGAAAAAAAGGGGGCAGGTGCCTACTGTGCCCTCGGCTCCGACGCCTTTGCTTTAATTTGTTTAATTTAAGACAACATTAATGCCTTGTCTGATATATCGAACATATGCGAGTTAGCGTTGAGAGCAATCTGGAATATCTTCAGCATGATCATGAAAGTTATAGAGAACTTTTCAACGAAAATATTTTTGTTGGTCAAATTGCTTTGCAAGTCAATTTTCAGTTCTCATCAAAATGGAAAATATTGACTTTTGTCTTGCACGTAGACAGGCACCCCGCAGCCATTGGACTAGCAGGGGCTATAGCCCACCCCCTCCCCCCCCTTTTCTGTAATAGTAGGCTAGAAATGTTTTTTGAAGGTTTACTCTAACGCAACTTTAGATAGTTTACTCCTATGTAGTAGCAGTTCTTCTTGACTGGAAGCATTTTTTGTTCATTTTCTAGATGTTTTATCTTTTTTTATGATGCATTTTCTTACTTTGTTAGCTTGGTGTTTTGTTACCCTCAAGCTAATTTTATCTATTTTTATAGTTATTGATATCTTCTTTGAACCAGACTGTTTATAAAAATTTAGTAGATAAAAGCAAGAATTTTCTAAAAGGGCGTTTTCCGGCGTTCTAGAAGACGTGTCCTGAAAATTTTTTCAGGCACATCCATTTCAGCCTCTCCATTTTTAAACTGGTGCGCGGTCCCTGCATGTAGATAACCTAGATTTCATTAGCATTAAAAGTTTTGATAGGAATTAATATTGTTCGAAAGTCAATTTCTTGAAAGGGCACTTTGCTTCACCGAGCTGCCCCCGCATTACGAGAGCAACGGGGGCAGTTGAATATATCCTTACTATATGTGTAATTATACTTTGTCACTTTGTATAAATGATTCCAGGAGTGTAGTGCTAAGGAAAGGGGGGTCTATGGGAAGCTGAGCAATGAGCTACCGAAAAATTAGATAATCCCTGAACAATTATTGTAATCATTATTTTCAGATCTCCCATCTTATCTTTGCACCAATACTAAAATGACGCCGTACAAAAAAGTTTATTTTTTGACTGTGTCCTCTTCCTTTTTCAAGTATAATTTTTTGATGAAAATTTGTTTCTGAAAGTGGTAACCAAATTCCATATTTAAATCAACACATATAGAATATAGAAGAAGTGACGTGATATCGCTCTTCAATTCTGAAAGCTAAATCGAATCCAAACTTATTGTAAAAATCAATGGAGATAAAGCTATTTAAAGTTGATCGAATTATATGTCTACAATCGAAAATACTTTTATCTTCTACTGTGCTTTGCAGTAACTGTAAGTTAATAGAGCCAATGCGATCTAGCTGAAGGAAAGGAACACATAGATGTGCCGAAAAAAGCGGTTTCTTAGCTTCCTGTTCAAGTCATTGGTACTCTTTGTAGAAAAAGAGATTTTTACTTGGCAGCTTTTTAGACCAAATGGAAACTTTTTGATACAAATTATCAATATGAGAAATCCAAGAAAAGATCCATGTGGAGCACCAAAATCTAACTCTTCTATTCGTGACGTAACACAATGTTTCGAAGCAAACCTTGGACTCCAGGGACTAGAGAAGGATCTGAAGCAAACCAAATTTATTTCCACTTTTGAACACGGAACAGATTGTTTAGTTCCTTCTTTAGGCAGTTGGAGGGCTTTTAATACCCAATCAAAAAGTGTTGTTCTGCTATGCTGATGGCTTTTTATAGAAAAAGAAGCAGTTAGTAGCAGCACCAGCGTGAAGAAAAATGGGTTAGGGCTCAGTTCCGAGCAAATCCTATAGAGCAACATATACATATATGTATATCAGGTAGACACCACAAACCAATCTGTATTACAAAAGCTCAACACACATGTATATTATTAATATTGTACTTTTTTTAAAGCAAAAATGAAAAATTGTGACCTCTTTTTACACAGAAGATATTTCAAATTAAGTTTCCATTGACAAAAATGGGGGACCTCTCCTAAGTGTCACTACCTGAAGTCGAGTTGACTTTTTAATGTATGACATGTAGTATATGGCATATGAACAAAACGATAAATGGGTCGCTATAGCTGGCTACAGCGAATCTGCTTATCTCTAGTCATTTTAGATTGTGGGGAAAACAAAGAGGAAAAACGTAATTCCGAAACTAAATCGTGCACATTTGCACTTGCAACTTGAGAATTTTTCAACCAGGGGTTTTGCAATTTAAAATGGAGAGAATAGATAAAACGTTTTACATAATTATTCAGTTTTCAAATAGTGAAAAACTTTGATGTTATTTTTCTATAGTGCACAAATTTCGGACCGTTAAAATTTTGAAGCACAAAAATATTTCGGACAGCAATAAAGTTGGACTCTTCAACTGTCCGAAAACTTTAACGTATTTATACTTTAAGATTGGAGAGGCTGTTCTCTTAAAGAGACAGTTTTGTTTCTTATATTACAAAGAATGTGTTTTTTTATCATGTATCCAAATATTTTTTCAATAAAAATTCCAATGGGTAATATTTCTCTCTACTGATGATCCAAATATTGATGATTCATGTTCTGTAATAAGCCAGTAAAGTTGTGTAACATAATAAATATAGTGACACTGATGTTATGGCAGAAAAGTAATTATTATGGCATGTTACTAGAGAATACATAATGATTATGATTATGATCAAAATAATGCTGATCAAGAATATGATCCTGGCAGCAATGATGATGCCTTGGTTGAATCTGCCTCAAAATACAGATTTGAATATAACTGGAAAGATTAGAATGAGAGTTGGCAGCAATGAAACTTTCAATCAAATACCTTGTTTGTTGCAAACAACAGGGCATATCAACAACCTCAGCATAAGCTGAAAATTGCTAAAGGTTGGACAAACACCAAAAAGCTTTTATTACATGTATTGATGTTTCTTTTGCATTCTGCTGACTCCTTCTCCTTCCCACTAAATAATGTAGCCAGTAATTTATCATGCATAAAATACTTTTCAGAAGATAGAACAGCAAACCTCTTGATATCTAAAGAATAATTGCTTTGGGAGTTGGGTATCTTAGGAAGCCCATTAATAATAATTCCATGGAAATTCCAAATAAATATGGTCTAGTCACATAATGCATCATCTCTAATTTTTATAATATTTGTGCCTTTCACCTACAATAATAAAATAAAATTGAACTGAAAATTGGAACTTTGCATCTTAGTCTATTCTAAAATTGTGCTAAGTTCATGCTTTGTTGACTTTGCAATTCTTCATATTTTCTGTGATGTTTTTAAAATTTTTAGGATGTTAGCCTGCTTGGAAACAGAAGAAAGAAAATGCCCAAGAAATTCATATGAGCACCAGGCAGTTTTCAGGTCCAGGTCCACCACTGGCCAGAGTAAAAAGTATATTTTGTACCCAGGAAATTACTTTCTGTTGCTTACACCTGCACGGGAAAAATCATGGTGTAAAATAGCAGATTACAGGAACGTATTTCCTGCCCTTACCCAAACTTCGCAGCCTGGACCACTGGTATCAGGGAAGAATTTTATCAAAGCTGCATTTTTAGTCAAGTTTTCTATCTTGTTTCATGTAATGTATCACATTATGTATTCTAAACTCTATCTTTATCTGTGACAAAGTTTGAACTATTACCTTTTGAAGGACAAGGCTTGACTCAAGCACCCCAGTGCATTCAGGGTCATTTTTACATGAGATTCAGGGGCAAAAACTGGTTGGTGTCTAAATTATCTTTTCTTTTTTATTCTTTTCTACTTTGAATCTTTTTATTTTTCATCATATATTAACAGAGGCTAGTGGTACGAAGTTTAATCCTTGGTTTTACAGTCAGGAAGATTTTGACCCTTAAGCACCCACATTCAGGGCTTGATCTAGTGGCTATACTACACAACTGAGAGTAGAAGATGTCTGATGTGTGTAACCACAAGTTCCACATATCAAAATATTAGGCTTCTCAATTAACACCTACAATAACGTCCTGTCTGAAATAACGTCAATCTTATATCAAATTTTTCTAATGGAAAGAGCCCTTCATTTTGTCCCAATATTCTGGATACATGGCTTGCAGTTCTTTTGCACTAAACATGGTTCTGTCTTCAAAACAAAAACCGGGAATTGCGCATACTGATATCAAAGAACATCGGTCGTTCACACCATCGTCTTGCACAATTGTCCACCTCAACGCGCCAGCAGGAATTGTTATCTGCAAGCAGTGACCCTCT